GTTACCAAAGGAGACAGAGCTGGGCACCGCGTTGGCTTGTTCCTAAAATATCGATAGCGCCCCAACAGGCCAAATCTTTGCGGAAGCCCCAGAAAAGGACATGCTAGCTCCAGGAGGTCTCAGAGAAACATGAAAGATCTTCTAAAACTTCCCAGACACCAGCAGTAAAATAGGGAGAAATGCGCAGGGGTGAGAATGTTTCCTATTTTATCGCCGCCATCTGTCGATTATGACAATTTAACTTGGAAGCTAGATTTCTACAAGAAACCCAGGAAGAAACTAATTATTCTTCTAGAAATGGTGGAATAATTGAATTAATTTTCTTATTTTTGGTTTTTATCAGTAAGATACTAAAGCTATTGAAATTACTTATTCAGGCATTTGCTTTATATGTTCTCATCAGTTCTTCATATTAGCACAAACTGCCAGGCAAGGATTTCCATTATTACAAATGTAGTTGTTGAAGGATCTTACTCTAAATCAAACGTCTCATTCATTCCTCTCCTGTTATACTATGCAATGTAGCTTTACTGAACTGTATCCAGGAAAAATGCAAAATCAATGAGTAATGTTCTTGACATTTTGAACAGCATGTTGTATTTAAAAAAAAATGTCTTCATACAAAATTTGTTCCATCTTGTGTGCCCTGACTAATCGCTTTCAAACCCCTTTTTCACTGTTACTGAAGATAACAATTTCACACAGCACCCATACACACACAAAAATACCCTGACCACAGGCAGAATACACTGGTATTTCCTGTTAAATTCTCTTTTGTTCCACTAAAAAAACTGCTGGTCAAGTCCCTCGATGATCTGTTCACTAATGGATCACATACTGTAGTCTGACATGCACTTCAGATCATACATATATGATTTCCCTGTTATTCTGTCATGATTGAGAACAGACAAGGTCCAGCTGGGGCAGGGGACACATCTGTAGCCTCAGGCAGGACTTCATGAAGGCTCGAATCACACAACCAGTCTAAAATGTTGGGGCCTGTGCCCCCTGACCAGTGTGGCTCAGTTGGTGGGTGCCTCATCCTGCAAAGCAGAAGGTTGCTGGTTTGAATCCCTGCCAGGGCACATGCCTGGGTTGCAGCTTCGGTCCCCAGTCAGGGCGTGTGAGAGGCAACCGACCCTCCCTCCTTTCCCCTCTGAAAATAAATAAAATTGCTAGAAAAATAAAATCCTGGGGCCTGTGAGGAAATGACACAGAATGACTGAGATGCTGCTATAATCAAAAAGAGAAAATCCGAAATGCGATTTTATTCCCCAGGATATTGATACACTGTAACGATACTTCATTTGTAACTTTAATTCATTGTCTTTATTTTTCCTTTTGAGAAGCTCTGTTGGGTTCTTTTCCAAATCTACTTGATAATTTCAGGGGTTTTGCTCCTTACTCCATTCTCTCTGAATGCTTGTCTGTGTAATAGCGAGACATCCCTGAGGCTCTTACCCCCTACGTTTCTCCTCGCCAGGCTCACGGCGTCTTGCTTCTGTGCACTGTGCGTTTTGACTGCGAATGCACATCCCATGGACTCTGTAGCCGGGGCCTCTCCAGACGCTAGGTTTTTCCAGAGTGAATTTGTGGTCATTTTCACAATGCCAAGAGGCATTACATGCTTGGTACCCCTTCAAACTAAAATCCTGGTTTGGTTTTGTTTTTTTTCAGATGTCCCACATGGGAAGGGATTTAGCCTGAAGTCCAAGTCAGAGGTGACATGTTATAAGTGTTCAGGAGAGTACTGGGGGTACTTCTCAGCCTTATGGGGTGGGGGTGTGTGTGTGTATGAGAGAGAGAGAGAGAGAGAGAGAAAGAGAGAGAGAGAGAGAGAGAGACCGAGACAGACAGACCAAGACTCCTCACCTTGGACTTCACCTCCTGCCTCCTGGGACCCCTGAAGCTTGAAAACAGAAGCTGTCCTTAACCTCTAGGTCCCAACTTTAATTTTTTAGACTGGGTATTCCTTACCTTGTTGTCAGCTCATATTTTTTAATCCGAACAGTGTGAACAGTTTCTGGTAGGAGGCTATGTGCTATATCACACCTATGCAGGTTAAACACAGTAAAATCAATAATTCTTCCCCGAGTCATTTGAAATAAAACGTATGCAACTCATTGTAATTCGGATTTTATTGCTTATTAATTATGTCATTCCACACAATTTTAAGTAATCAGAGTTTGAGAAAATATACTTGGGAGTGTTAACAGCGATGGCGATGCTGAGGAGAGAAGGGAATGCTCAATCGATTTACTACAGAAGGTAGCAAGAGGCCCTGCCGCCACCATCTCCCCCAGAATCTGTCATTTCATAGAAAAAGAGTAAAAATAGTTCATTGGCATTTTCCTAGCATTATTCTTTGTAATCTATGAACCATGATAAGCCTGAGTAACTTCAGACTCTTCAGAGAAAAACAGAGCGTTTTCTTCCACTAGCAGATGTAGCAGTTTGTTTCTTTAAAAAAAAAAAAAAAAGCAACAGATCAACAGAACAAAAACTACATACGCAACCCCCACACAAAACGTCGGCATATTTCAGTGGTCCGAATGTTAATGTTTCTATCGCTATTTTAAGAAGTAAAATGTGATTCAGCTTTTAAAAATGAGGTTAAACTTCTTCACTGTAATTATACTTATAATTCAAGTAATTTAACTGAAGACAATGTTAACCCAGTAAAGACCACGAATACAACTCACACGGCTCTTGGGCCGAGCTAACTTCCAGCTGCACAGGTAGAACTGAGCAGCCACCCACCCCGCTTCCAGACATCACAGCAGAAATTCTGAGTGTTTCGAAAGCTGGGGAGCAGGTAGAGAATCACTGTAAATCGCATAAAGATATCAGCCCGCTGCCGGGTAACACTGCGCCGAGAGCTTCCTCGATTAATGACTTAAAAAAAATCAAGCAGGGACCACCGGTCGGCATTTGTAGTACCTCTATCATTACAAAGATGCGTGGGTTGAGAAATACATCTGAATACTTGAAAAGAAGCAAAACTTGAAATGCAGGTTCATGTCAAATCATTTAGGAGACCTCAGTTACCAAACTAAAAATACACAGTAGCAGATAAATAGAAATTTATTAAAACCATCATCTCCAACAATATAAAAGTTAAATATTAAGGCATCTTTCACGCCCATCTTGGCATATGCAGTGAAGAGAAATGTTTTCCAGAGGAGCTGGCCCTTCTGCTCAGACGTTTTCTGGTGCACTTGACAGATGTGTTTTTCTGTTCTCCTGGTCTACGTGCCATGGAGAGTTTTCGTGATCAAACATCGTGACCAAAACCAAGAGAAAAGTGTAAGCAAACATTCACTTAGTAAAGAGAAGCTGTTCACCCTTGAAAAATAAAAGAGGAACTATGAAGAATATTATGTGTAAAGCTCAAAGGCCAGCACTTAAATTCCTCTGAAGCAATTCATGCCTCAGTAATGACCAGAAAGAGATGAACACTCAGGACAAGAAGCCTGTGAACAAGGACTGTGCTGTGGAATAAATGTTCCTTCAAATTCTGTTCCCCTGGGGCAGATTTTTGAAAAGGGCTTCATACTTTAAAAAAAAAAGAAATTATCACATCCACTAGAATAAGATCATATAAATTAACATTACTTATTATCCTCTGTATTTGTCCATTGACGAAGCTCAAAAGGCTTCCAAAGGATACTAAACAGTAACATTTTCACCTTTTATTAAGACAAGTTTGTGAAAATAATTTAATACAACCAAATCTCTTCATGAACTTTCAGCTTAAACTATTTTTATGTAAGAATCATACAAAAAATTGTTTTATAAAAAGCCACCTCAATACCAGAAAAGGGTAATGAACGACTGTGAACCCAGTTACTTTTGAAGGACGCTCTTCCCTTGTTTCAGTTCCGAGCGCTATTCATCATCTTTAGAGCCAGTTTTGCTCAACTACAAAAGAAGATGGAAGAAATATTCAGCAAGTTTAAACTATCAGATTGAATTCATTATTTTCACTTCATATCGAAAGTAAACATTTGTAGCCACTGGGACAAGAAACAACAAGGTTCCACCACTTATACCACCTCCAGCTGTCACCGCATTGAACTATACTTGAAATGGTGTTTTCTGCAAATATAACCCCAACAGAACAAAGGGGGAAATCCAGACTCCGCTGGTGAGACACCCACGGGCCACCTAGGACAACGTGGGACCTTCATCAAGCATCGCGGAGGCGCTGGGGTAGATGAGGGCACGCCAGAGCGGACGCACCCAGAGACACGCCGTGGACAGCCGGCCTCCTGCCTAGAAGGCGAGGGGTGCTGTTTCTTTAGCCCAGCGGTAGCCCATGGCCTCCTACCCCCAGGCAGTACTAGATTTTTGTACTAGATTCTAGAAACACAAAGGTTAAACAGTTCTCATAGAAAAGGCATCCCATGGCCCAAACAGCTGACTTCAAAATAAACTCTAAGAACACCATGCTTGTAAATGACCCACATGTGTAGGTCCTCACAAAAATCCTAATCTTTAGCTCTCCTTGGATCATATTAATTACTTCTGACAGTACTGGTACTAATCGGCGTGCAAAACTCATTTCATGAGTCCTACAAAGACAATTAACTCACTGTGTTAGGTATAGTTTAAAACATTTGAAGCTACAACTTGTGCAAGAAAAATAGTGACCGTAGTCAGCAGAAAAATTCAAAATGGAAAGTAAACAATTTTAAACAACAAAAACAGAAAAGCTTTCTTGATAATGACGGGAAATTACAACTTGGGCCAGACCTAAATAAAATCCTTAATCTCTACCAGGAAGTCGAAGCATTTCTTTCTGTGACTTGTTTCTTCATGTTCCACAGTGTCACTGATTTAGAGCCCTAGTTAAGCATGTCCATTCTTATGATGTACTTACAAAAACAGTCATACTTTATTGCAGTTACAGATACTTACATGCTGAGTGTGAAACAGGCAACAGGCATCCCAGTGAAACCCGGACATTGAGGGGGAGAAAATGAAAGATAAAATGTTCGTTACTTGACGGTGACAGTCCTACGGAGCCCTGAGGCCAGAACAGAAATAGTACGTACCTTCACCACGTCAACCCAGTTCCACCCTCGCGGACGTTCGCCTTTGTGATCTAGAACGGAAAATAGCAACTGCATTTTTAAGACCAATCAGTAATTTTTAAATTAATTAGTATTCTAATTAATACAATTTTTATACTATCCTGCACCACAAACAGATACAAATTTAAGTTACAATTTGCGAAGCTGCAAAACGAACGTATCATCCCTGTGACTGGAAGCACAGTGTTCCGAGGCCTATGCGCCCAGTATTTCAGGTGTACCCTCTGACGTTCCTGTTTCATTCAAGACGATGGTTTCAAGGGCAAAGCATGGAGGTGAGCAGGTGACGCCCGGGAGAGAAAGGAATCGGCTCCCAGCCTCGCGCACTTGCACGAGATTCTGCTGCTCCACGCAGGGTCCCGCTCATTGAAGTGCCAGGCTGGGCTGGCTCACTGTTCCACGGCTCCTGTCTCACTGCAGGAGTGCGGCTCGGGACAAGGGGCCTCACAAACAAACGCTTGGCTTCGAGAGCGAGACGAGGCCTGGCCACCGTATTTATTTATTCCTCTGATAAAAATACTCATGAATTAACCTTATATTTTTAAAGTAGAGCTTTAATCTGCTGGGAGTGCTTGAAAATAAGCTCAACGCTTATACAGGAATTTATAATTTACGAAGTAATTTCATTCTTTGAATAGAATATTCAAATACAAAGGATAGTTTAATAAATACATACAACCTAAACATTTTTCAATTAAAATGGCTTGATTTCCTTTATGCTTGATATATCCGTATGTCTCATTTTATAAAACTTTCAAAATCTGTCTTTGAAACACGTACATTAATTCTGCAGTAAGGGAAACCAACTAACTCCGTGATTCTCACGGAAGAGCAGCAGTGTGACTGGAGCTCACTCCCGGGTGCTAACGGCAACTTCCTCCGCCGTGCCAGGAAGCGTCTGAGCGCCCGACTGCGGTTACGAGGGGCACGAAGGCAGATCACCGATCCTGGCAACTTAAACCAACCCACAGTTCGGTTTAGAATGCAAGCTCCATGCTACAGACTCCTATACCTGTACCTACATGGCAGGAAGATACGACTTCCGGGTGGGCGTCAGCAAGGACCTGGAGGTGGGGAGCCAGTAATAAGAGGGAGTGATCATAGGCCATTACGTATGGAAGCAACAGATCATGAACTAACTGACAGATGCTAAACACCCCGAAAAGCGATGAACCGAAATTCCAGAAAGCAGACAGCAGCAGCTAACAATCCCCGGTTTCGGTTGCTGCTGCTGCACTTCAGCGCTGCTTTGGCGCTGCTGCGATGGACTCCCCGCAGTTTTATCTCACAAATGTATCTTGAGGGCCAATACAGGGTTGCTATCTTTTTACTCTGCCAGACACTAAACAAAACATAGACAACCAAACAATGACCTACAATTCATTAAACAAAGGACATCGTTAAAGGTCTGCACCAGAATAGAAGATCAGTTCTTCCCAACTGAGGGCAGCTTGTAAACTCACACCAATGACACACACACACAGACGTAAGCTGCTACGCACAGACACTGTGTATATGTATATAAATGTATACAGGCACACGTGGTAACGTCCTCACTTTCTTGAACTGTGGAAAACGTTTCTAGACTGATACCAATCTGCAGATTTTCAGGTTAAATAAAGAGATAAAACACTGTTGGTGATAGGAGCTGCAGTTTAAAACTCTCTCCTCAAGGTCTATACCAGATGACTCTGGCTTAAGACACACAGGAGTTCTATTCTCAGGTTTTACTGTTGTTGACTAAGTCAACTATAGACAAAAACATTAAAAATATTTATTGTGCTAAGTTCTAATGGTATACTAGACTTCATTTCATAGGAAAGCTGTATTTCAAAAAACTTCCAATAATCATGTATCTGCTTTAGTGGTAAACAAACAGGAAAATCCCACACGTGTCAGAGAGGGTCCAGCAGGACACACATCTGTGCGCTAGTCCAAGCTCATCCACCGTCGCCTCAGATGCTCAGCCCCAGTGGGGAGGCAGGAAATGTTTGCCGTAGACATCTGCGGCCGAACACAGTCTCTGATCCAAATGTGCCAAGAATTAAGAGTACAGACTAATCTTCTAAACACCCTCTTTAAGCACCCATACCGCACTAAAAGGCAACACCTTTATTTGTGTTATAAAAGAAAAAAAACAAACACAAACCTGTTTTATCTGCCAGTTTACGTTTCTGGGCTTTGGAAAGTTGTTCTTTTTTGTCTTTTTTCTTACTTGATGGGGCCATAGTTGGAGTTTCAGCTGAGATGATATTGCTCATGGATGTCTAGGAGAGAAGAAATAATTCATAGGCCTATGCCTTAAAGCTGGTAGAATTTCACAAAATATGGCTACATCCTGAAATGAGCTGAAGACACTGAGATTTGTGAAGTAAAAGAATCCTGTGTGTCAGCTTCACTCATACGCTCTGGCGACCTTAGCACACCAGTTTCCTTTCACTCCTCTCGAAGTTCACGCTGAAGGACACCGTATTAGCACAATTGTCACAGGAGGTCCCTCAGAACAACGCTCTGATACCAGCATATGCCGGTGCTCTCAAGTTCCTAGGCAATGTTACAATTTAGTTCATTTGCTATTATTTGGAAGTTTAAATAAGTCGTTAGAAAAATCACATGTGTCTACTTAACTACCCTGGTTCCCTGAGGAAATGAAGGAAATCTTTAAAATGCGGGGTGGGCAAAGGTAGGTTGACAGTTGTAATACAAATACAATAAATAATAATACAAGAATAAACTTGTTTTTTGTGTACTCACAACTGTAAACCTCCTCTTGCCCACCCCTGTATCCCAGTTCATGCAGTCTGAGTTTATGACAAAATTTAAAATGCTTACTAGGTGCAAATATTGTTAAGAATGTTATATGTTTATACTCATTTGATCCTTACTACAATCTTATAAGGTAGATACTATCATAACTGCCATTTTACAGGGGAAGAAACTGAGCACAGAGAGGTCAAGGAACCTGCCCAAAGTCACCCAGCGAGGGGTGCTGAGAGTTTGAACCCAGACAGCCTGGCCTCCAGTCCTGGACCTTGGCTGCCACCTGCACTGCTTCTCCAACTGTTCTACACTCCGCTGCGGAGGTGGGAGCCAGAACTGCTCAAGTACAAGGCATGGCCTTTGCTGTCCAAAGCTTACAGCTTAATCCACAAGATAAGCTCAATTCATACCGATCTCTGAAAAACTTTTAGTGCAGAACATGGTGCAAAGGGGACTAATGCACACAAGGTCGGAAAAGATTATTATTTCCTAAAATAAATCTAGAAAATGTACACTTTTTTTATTTAGTAAGTCTCCTTAAGCTGGAATACCTTCAAACTGAACAGTGGCAAGACTATTTACAAGCAAATAATCCTCATAAAATCTCATATATATTTTGGCTCTACGCAAAAAATCTCCTCTGAGCTTTATGAATAGATCAAATAACCTTGAAAAACTATTGTTTCTACAACATTTGTTTTGGTGGCAGATGAAGGGTTCTAGTCTTATAGAAGGGGTAAAATCTGGAGAGCATAATTTAATTTTTAAAGTTACATGGAAGCTAAGAAATCTTACATTCATTGTTCTTATGTACTCCCGATGCAACTCACTTGACTCTAATACAAAGTCCTCTTCTAAATTTTAAAAGATAATAACTAGTCAAAATTAATTACTAACAATAAAATCAAAGCAACAAGCAATCTGGCAAGAGCGCAGACGCGCTCACCGCGGACGCGGCGGGACGGTGGTTCTCCATGAACTGCTCCCTGTGGTCCTTGGCGTACTCGAACAGTGTGTAGGTCATGGCGGTGCCCAGGTTCACTTCCACGGCCTCCTGTAACTTGGCCAAAATGCTCTGCTTTACAGCGGAGGATCTATAATGCACAAGAAACACATTGCTAAGAGGAAAGCAAAAGAGAATGTTAAAAACAAACAAAAGCCAACAAGAACAAAACATCACTCACATGGTGTTGTTAAAAAAAGCGTTCATAGATATGATGGGAGGCGTCTGGGGATACGTTTCTGTCCAGGAAATCTCTATCAGGAAGGCTTTGGGATCGCCATTCTCACCTATCTGAAAAAAAGGGAAACCTTAGGCTTGTAAAAAGTGATCCAAGACAGGATATTACATTCTGATCTTTAAAATGAGGAACTCTTCCTGGTGCTCATGATCGGTCAGGGATGCAAGCGTGAGAAGCTCCGGGCACGGGCTGAGGGCCGGCGGGGCGAGCGCAGCAGCGCAGTCCTCGCCGGTTTCCCAGCTTCGGCCGCTGTCCTCGGCTGTCCTCGGCCTGTCTCGCAGACCGGCCCTCCAGCTTCTTCCAGCGCCAGGACTGTGCCTTCTACACACAGCTTTTGTTTCCTCAAAGCTCTCTGAGGGTAAGCATGAACCGTGGGGGACAAGAAGAGAATGGACGAAAGTAATAATCCACAGACTTAAAACACCGTGTCTTTGCCTTGGGTCTTCCTACAGCTACATCATAAGGAGCATTAAGAACAAGTAAACTGCTACGAGCGTCGTTCCAAGAGACTTGAAAATGAAATGTAAAATTTAGAGAAAAAAGGAAAAGGCACAGAGATGAGGAAAAGTACAATGATACCTTCAGCTAAACAGCAACTCCTGAATCATTTTTTTCATTTTATTTATTTTTAATTCAGGTACACTTGACATATAATATTGTATTAGCTCAGGTGTATAACAATGATTCAATATTTGTATACACTGTGAAATGATCACCATAATAAGTCTAGTGAATGTCTGCCACCATACATAGACACACTTTTTTTTCCTTGTGAGGAAAATAGCTAAGATCTACTCTCAGTGACTTCCGAATACATGATGAAATATTATTAACTACAGTCGCCAGGCTGTACCTTCCCTCCCTCCTCGATTTATTTATAATTGAAAGTTTGTACTTTTGGACCCTCTTCACTTGAGTAATTTAAAGATGTCCTTTCTGTTTCTTTTATTCTCCCTAACGTTTTATTTTGAAAAATTTTAATCTTATAGAGAAATTGAGTAAAAAAAATAAGCACTCGCTGATGTGTATCTTATTTACTAAATGTATCTTATTTTACTCTACTTTCTCTTTCTTCTTCTCTACTACAGATTCACCCCCAACCCCAAATGTTGTGTGAGGCTTTTTTTCTTTGGTTTTTGTTGAACCATTTGAAAGTAAACAGCAGACACCATGAAAACGTTCTCAGATATGTATAGGCAAAGTATACAAACAATAGCGATATTGTCCTTTATAACCATGATACCATTATGACACCCAAGATATTTAACACTGACAAAAAAATATGATCTAACTCATAATCCATATTAAATGTTCCCCAATCATATCCAGAGTGTCCTCCCCAAACTGCAAAGCCATACACCACTGAGGACTAGGGATTACATATGGTTGTCCAATCTCTTTATTCTGCCTTAATTTAGCACAGTCTCTAGCCCTCTCCTGACTTTAAATGTCTTTTAGGACAAAAAGAGTCTAGGCTAGTTTTCCTGTATAAGGTCCCCACATCAGGACTGTCTGATGATTTCCTCTGTTCAGATCCAGATTAAATGGCTTCGGTAAGGACAATTCCGAGGTGATGTGGAATATTTCCCAGAGCAGATGTAAGAGGCATGTAAGAGCTTCAGAATCATCACTTGTGCTACCTTGTTTGATCACCTGGTTCAGGTAATAGTCTCCAGATCTCTCCAAGGCAAAGGTATCTTTTTCATTTTGTAATTAAGAAGTAATCAGGGAGGTGATGCTATAAATCTATGTGTATACCTTGTTTCTCAACAACTTTTCACCCAAAGGTTTTAGCACCCATTAATGATTCTAATGACTGTCTGACACAATCATCACATTGGTGGTTGCAACACGGTGATTTTCTAATAAAACTACGGGATGATTCATGAATCGGTATCTCATTCTTGTACAGGGCTATGCTAATCTCTTCTGTAATGTTTTTAGTAGATGTGCTGCTTTTTGAAATATTCAAACAACAATAAAATTAAATTCTTTTCACCTGAAACTGTTACTGGATTCACCTTGATTTTCTGATGACTAACTTTTTATTTCCATCCCGCACCCTCAATCACACACACCAGTAAGATGGGGCTTGGAAACGATGTCAGCTACACTCAGGCATCTGCTGATACACCCAAATAATTTGACTACCTGCATAATGGCTGTCATCGGTTTGTGCCTGCATTTTTGTGTCTGCAATGATGATGTAATTGCTTAAGCTAAAGACCCGTATGCTTCTATTTTAAATATAGAGATGATTAAAAGGTAACAAAAATTACTTGCTCTGTACAATCAGTAAGTCCTTCCTCGAGGTGCATGTAGAAAATAACTGCCCTCCTCACACTGTGCCAGGTACCAGGATTAACAAAGACAGAGACAGGACCACCCCTGTCTTCTAGGGAGGCAGATGTTCGATAAATCACTGAAATGCAGGACGACTAAAACTTCACAAGCGGCAGAACAGAGTAGGAAGAAACGCGCAATGGTCAGTTCTGCTTTGAAGTTACAGGAGAGAGAGAAGACATGGCCCAAATATGTCGCAGAGGAGTTAGGTATTAAAGGAGGAGGAGGATGGCTGATGGGGGAGGGGGAGGGGAAGAGCAAACGATGTGTCCGATGTGTCCAATGTGTCTAAGGGCGCCGACACAAACACCGGGGCTGTATTTAACAGGCCATTGTGCGGGAGGGACGGCAGTGGCCGGGAGTTTGGGGGCAGCCTGAGGCAAACAATAGGGTTTTGCAGACTGACTGTCAGGCGAAGGAGTGTCACCCTCACTCTGCAGACCAGAGGAACCCAGGAAGGGAAGTTCATGGACAAAGGCGCGAGGCAGCTACCCAGGTGTTTAGAGACCAACCCGCAGTGGCAGTCGTGGGGGCTGATGGTGCTGCCTGGGCCGGAAGTGCAGGAAGCGCTGAAAGCGGGGGCTCGCTTAGGGGGCTACTAGCCTGTCTGCACAGGAACCGAGGGTCCGATGAGGACGCAGCCAGGACTGCACCCCAGGTACTCGGACTCCCAACACACCTTCTCTGAACCTCAGCTTCACTCCCCTAAAATGCACCCTCTAGGTCACGTCAGAGTGTCTGTCCTGCGGGACACACATGTCCTACAACGTCCTGCCTCCTCTGCTCAGTACACAACTGCTGTTAACACCGACACTCGGGGCAGCGCGGGGGAGCTCAGCCTCCCATTTGCTAAGGCCAGGCAGCAGCGGCTGGGGAGTCCGCGGCGGCAGTCAGCGTCAGAGAGAAGGGCCTAGGACCTCACTCCATTAGTAACTTCGATCATTACACGTCCCTTTGTTGTCATCTACATGGAGATGGCGTTGAGCTTCAAGAAGAACTGAGGAGCGCTGAGCAGAGAGGGAAGTATCCTGAGGGAGCAACTATAAAGAAGTGACTTCCTGCCCTGGTGGAGAGGCTCAGTGGATTGAGTGCTGGCCTGTGAACTGAAGGGTCGCTGGTTCGATTCCCAGTCAGGGCACATGCCTGCATCGCGGGCCAGGTGTCCAGTTGGGGGCATGCAAGAGGCAACCGATCGATCTCTCTCTCAAACACTGATGTTTCTCTCCCTCTTTTTCTCCCTCCCTTCCCCTCTCTCTAAAAATAAATAAGATCTTTAAAAAAAGTGACTTCCTGTGATAGTTCTATAAAAAACATGTATGAGGACCTTTTTTCATACAACTTATTTTAAATAGTGACAATGTCAATAACCACATATCTTTTACAAAAAAACTTTTCTACCGATACCACTATTACTTATAATCATTGGGACAAATGGTTTATATCTTTTGTTTACAAAATAAAATAGTGGTACTGTTTCATGATAAAAACTGGGCAATGAGCAACTTCAATGATAGAGAGAAATCAACATTTCACATATACAAAAAATATTCAGACATATTAATCATACTGAATTAAGAAATTACCAACTTTTCTTAACTATATCATAGGGTAGTAAAAAGAGTAATAGAGTCAGAATAAAGACCTGGATTTTAATCCTAATATTTATCAATACCAGCTATAAGAACTTGGGAAGTTTTGAGTGAGAAAAGTTATCTTTCAGATGACAGGGTAAAACCCTATCATTAAAGGTTTATTTTATAACACTATAAATCTGGTACAATAGAAACAAGTTTACCTTTTTTAAAAGTTTCTGAATTATATTTTAAAAAGTTAAAAAAATTGATGCCGCAGTGATGTGTCTTCCTTTAAATGCTTCAGAAAAAACAGACATATATTCAAACCACTGAATTAAAACACAAAACCAGCATCTTTAGCAACCTTTAGTCTTTCGCAGCCATGGAGCCCTGCTCGTGCCGTGTCTTACCCTATACTGGAATGAAACTGGACTTAATTCCCGGAAACTTTCGTCTCCTTCATATATAGAGCGTAATGCTTCCAGTTCCATCTGAAAGAAATGAATCAAATGAGTTTTGTTTAGGGGAATACATGGATTAGAAATAGAGGGGCTTTAGTTTCTGATTCAAGCCCACTCAACTACGTAAAGCTTGACTAAATTATAGGGCCTGAGATGTTTCCTATATACGTGGATAGAGTAAGACATCACAATAATACTAATACCAATATACTTACTTTTAAAACTATGTGCCAGGCACTGCTAAGCATTTACAGTGTATTATGTCACTTTATTCTCACATCAATCCTGTGAAGAAAATCTCACTATTTTCTCCTTCCCACGGCAGGGGTGAGGGGTGGGGGGAGTAGGGGTGGAGGGGATAAGATTTGGTTTAAAGCAGCTCAGGGCGTGTGCCCTTTATCACTCTGCTGAAGAGTGGCCTGGGGTAGAAAGAACATGAAAGAACATTATTTACATATACTGCATTTGTAATACTTCCCAAAAAATGAAACAAAACTTGAAAAAAAAATGACAGAAAAAGGCCACAAAGATCTAGAAAAGGACTGTAAGAGAAAATGTAACTAGAAACCCTTGCCTGAAATATTTCCTAGAACATTGTGGGCCTACAGATGAGAAGACTCAAGCGCTCTTGCAATTACTGGTGAGCCCTTGCGAAGAGAAGCCAGGGAAAGACTGCACACTTGGGTAGGTATTTTAGTTTTCAAAAAAATGCATGTCATGAATTCTACAAACTAAAGATGGGTGGATTTGATCTATGCAGACAAAAGTTTAGAACAGATTATTAAGGAAAGTGCCTGTGAGGACCTGGGAGAGTAATGGGTAGTTCCTAAGGCCTAACAGGCATGTAGAAAACAAGATGCATGTAAAGAACCCTTCTTAGAGGGGGTAACTTAGGGAAAGGCGCGAAAGCATCAACTTGGGTTCCGGTAAGGCTCCTCGGGTTTCTCTGGTTACCTTTACAGAAACTCAAACTGGATTCAAGAGCAATTGAGCTTACATTGAAACAAACTTACTCAAAATACAGTGCTACTTCTTCTGTCCTTAATGCTTTCCTACATTTTAATTAATGACCTGGACAAGAACAAAAATTGAAGGCAGGCTTGCCAATTTTGTCAATGACAATTTGATGGAATAGTGAATAGTGCTGTTGGCAGAAAAAGAATTCAAACAGTCCTTGAAAAACAATCTAACATTATAGTACACGCTCCATGTGTCCCAGTAAGAACTGGTCATGTCTTAGCTTAGAAACTCACCTGTCGAGAATATTTCAGAATGGATGGAGATATCAACTTGCTTGTGGAAATTTGTGGTCCTTTAAAGGTAACTGATAGTCCAGAGATTCTATTATATCTACCCTGTAAAAGTGCTAAATTTCAAGCAATATAGTCTAAATGAGTATTGAACTAGTTACCTAGGAGACGCGGATTCTAGTCTTGATCCTACCACTGCGCAGCCCTGGGCAATCGCTTTACCTTTGTAGACCTTCCCTTCATCCATCCACATTATGTTAGAAGGTTCCTCTTGAGAGGACAGGTAGCATCCCCTTCAACTCTGTGTATGCTCAAAATAGACTTCGTATCCACTGGATAGGAAGCATCAGAGGGATAAGTAATTTCACCAAACAATATGGCCAGAGCCAGGGGACACTAGTGTCATTATTGTCCTCCATCAAAGATTTAACTAACTCAGTTAACTCTCCCTACATGCTAACAGACTTAGAATTTAAAGGTGACCAGATTATAATAAAATAACTCAGTTCACAAGCTCCAAATAACACACGGGACTTAAGGTCTGCCAAGTTCACCGGGTCGTCGACCAAGGACATTCCTCCTTGCTATTAAAGAGACCTGGGGCGACCCCCCGCCGACAAAACTGAGAACTGCGGAAGGTGAGGAGATAGAAAGGGACGCACGCCTGGTCTCTGCTCGCAGGACACCGGTCAACGTGGGGCACCCCAGCCAGGCTCTGTCCGCTGTAGGATCGAGGGCACGTGCGGGGCCACGGGTCTGAGCGCCGGGTCTCATCTGGGCTGGGGGACAGCAGCCCCTCCTCGGGGATGGGCACCGCCCCTGCGCGGGGACAGGGCGTGCAGCCCTGGGACTCACCTCCTGGTCCTCGTTGGCACTCATCGCGCGGGTCGCAGGGCGCCTCCCGGGCGGACGGCGTTCGCGACTACGACGAGAAGGCGCGAGCAGTGGCCCCGAGGGCGGGGCGTCCCGGTTCTGCGCCCACGGCTGCGATTGGTACACCCTTCGCACCCTAGACGACAGTCACGCGCACCTCTGACCCTTGGGCAGAGCAAAGCCGCCTACCGAAGGGCTGTGGGCACTGAGCCCCCGGCCGCAGGTGGCGGGGCGCTGGCGCGTCCAGGGAGAGACAGCAGGGCAGTAACGCCAGAGGCTCCGCCTCCTCTTCCTTCTCGCTTCTCCAATTGGCCCCACCTCCTGCTCCTCTAGGAAACGGAGCGACTTCCCTACGTTTTGTGGAGCAGGGTCAGGTTCTGGGGTAGCGATTGGTGTAGAGCGCTGTCACTCAGGCCCAGAAAGCACTTCCTGTGTCTGCCAGGTGGGCACAGGGAAGTCTTGTTTGCTGGAACCGGCTCTGAGGCTGTGGCCGCAGGAAAGGGCCGCCGGCGTTTGTCGACACCCCTGCCTGCTTCCCCTCGTCCTCCCCCGGCTGGGGGCGACCGGTCACTGCTGCAGCGGGCCCAGTGGGCGCGGCCTGGGTGAGTCTGGAGCCCGGAGACCTGCGTGGCCAGCCGACTCCGCCGAGGGAGGGAGCTAGCTCTTAATTAACAATGCATATTTTGGAGGCCTGCGTTTTCCCACGGCGTCAGCGGCTACAATTTGGGCACTTTGAGCCCCGAAGCACCTATTTCTAGGGCTTTCAGGTTTAAGGGGGGCGGGGATTGGGGCGAAGATAGAGTCCGTTTCTAGGAGTGCAGCGTTATTTCTCCGCCTTTTCTGACTGGCGCCACCAGGGCAGAATTTTGCGACCCTGGAACGGTACCTTTTCTTAAATCGGTTGTTGCTTCACATCTTCGACATCACCTTTTATTTTCTATCATCCAGGGCTCAAACTGTCGTTCCTGTGTTGGTCATCTTGTAGGTGAACGTCTGTGAATCTTACCCTACTAGCCTTGTCCTCCACCCTGAACCTCTATTATTAAAAAATAGTGACCACATAAATTTATCTCCACCCTGAGTAGGCCGCCTGTCTTTGCATTGTGTCATCCTTTGCACGAGTCGTCGTTTTTACCTTCCATGCCAGCTTCCGAGCACTTCCCTTGCACTGCATGGTGTCTTATCCAGGGCGTTCATTCCCTGCTTCCACGTCATTGGCTTCTTCCAGGAGATGAAGGAATTCCTCCTATGGGCTGTCATTGAGATCCTGACAACCTCTGTACCTGGCCTTTGCCATTCTCATTTCCTTGCTGCAGAATAAGCATGACCCATCTCAAGGGCTAAAGCTTTTAAGGTAGAAGGTGGCCAGAATATTTGAATTTTGGGGACGGAGCTACAGTAATTTAGAGCTGCGCTGTCCAGTATGGTAGCCGGCAGCCGGTAGCCAGTAGCCATGTGTGGCGATCGAGCGTTTGAATTGGGACGTGTTGTGAGTGTACAGTGCACTCTAGATTTTGAAAACTTAGTACAAAAAAGTAAAATACCTTGTTAATAATGTTTATATTAATGTTGAAACGATAATATTTTGGATATATTGGTTAAATTGAATATTAGTAAAATTAATTCCACCTCTTTCTATTTTTTTAGTGTGACTGTAGAAAATGCACATAGACTGCACAGCAGGGTTGAACCTGCACATGTGGATCCCATGGATGTGGAGGGTTGACTCTATTTAGATAATTAGCATGTTACTTTAATAGTATCTCAGGAATTCAGAAATTAGGTGTTAGCAACTACAGAGAAATTACAGATTGTTAAACTTTATAGTATATCTAAATCAATAATTATCATTATTTTCTTTATAGCTGAAGTAAGTCATGAGACCTATTTTAACTTGATGATGTTCTTGCTTTCTTGGTCTGCTCATCCCAAAGTTCTGTGTGCTTTATGAGATGTTACTGAAAATGCTGATTTGTCTTAGTTGACTACCTTTGTAATATGAAAGGTTTTTTAAAAATGCAATACCAATAGTTACTACATTTCCGTAGGTCCGTATAGGAGTTAAAGTTTTCAAAAACTTTCGATCTTTTTTTATTTGCTCGACAGTTTGCAGACACTTCAAAGTCTTTTGCTTTTGTAATGTTTCTTTTAAAAACTACTTTTTTAAAATTTAGAATTATTTTATTTATATTTTAAAAGATTTTATTTATTTACTTTTAAAGAGAGGGGAATAGAGGGAGAAAGGGAGAAAAACAGCAATGTGTGAGAGATACATCAGTTGTTGCCTCTTGCACGCCGCCAACTGTAGACTGGTCCACAACCCAGACCTGTGCCCTGACTGGGAATTGAACCAGCGAACTTTTGATTCGCAGGCTGATGCTCAATCCACCAAGCCACCCAGCCAGGGCTGTAATGTTTCTTAAATGGTGGAGATTTATATATTAGAAATGTATATGGACTTTTAAAAATCAGTTATGACTATCAACATTTGTATTTCAGATTTTTCATAACGCCTTGAACATGAGCCCCACACAGTGGGACTTCCCTGTGGAGCTATGTTGTCGGCCTATGGCTTTTGTTACCCTGACTGGCCTGGATGTGGTTTATAACGCTGTCCATCGAACTGTCTGGGATGCTTTCTGTGCCAATCGGAGGGCTGATCGGGTACCAATTTCTTTCAAGGTGCTACCAGGTGACCATGAGTATCCCAAATGCAGACCCAAGGTAATGACGTTGTGATTACATGCGGGCTCTTCTCTCCCTCTTTCCGCATGTGTGTGTGTGTGTGGTGTGTTTGTGTGTGTGTGTGGTGTGTTTGTGTGTGGGTGGTGTGTGTGTGTGGTGTGCTTGTGTGTGGTTCCTCTCGTCCGTGCTGGAAAACCCCTGAGCTTACCCAGGTGATGGTTACAGTGATGCGTGTAGAAACCCTGGGCTTTTTCATGTTTGTAAGACACTACAGGTATGTTTAATAGTAGTTCTTTGAATTTTGGGGACAGAACTACAGTAATTTAGAGCTGTGCTGCCCAGTATACTAGTAAATACCCCCAGAGGGATATTTACTTTATAATTATTAAGCTTTTTATGCTATGAGCCTACGTTTTCCTTTTTTCATTTGTTTAAAAAAAGCTAGGTCTCCATAAAGGCCTCCTAAAAGGAACGTTTCACGCTCCCCATTCCAGTTTCACCATAGAATCCATGGTCTTCACAGTCGGGTTCAGTTTCCCACACATTCTTTGAGCACTTGCTTTGTGTGAGCTACCTGGAACTATGCAGGAGGCTGGTGATAGAAATTTAAATAAGACAAGCTGTCTGTCCTTGGGGAGTTCTGCATAAACTAAAACCACTTATTCACTGTGGAATGAGGAAAGGTATTGAGTTCAGAACTGACTTTTAGAGTGAGCATCGTAGTAGAGACTCTTATTTACCTAGAAAAATAATAACCATAATTATGTAGTATTAATAATTGCAGCTAATATATATATAGCACCTAGCATGTCAATTTACTTTTTAAAGAAAGTTATGGATATTGATTGGTTATTTACTGTAATCTTAGATTGATCTACGAGTCAGTTAACAAGGCAAATATCCTCCCCTAAAACCCCCGACTTTTTTTCCCCTTATGGTAGTGTTTCTGACGGTGTGGCCTCCGGACCAAGTATGTCATCGTCACTTGGGCTGTTTATTAAAAATGTAAATGCCAGGCCTCCTTAGGTAAACTCTGGGAGGGCGAGACCAATGCCTTTGGTCACCAGTGGTCACCAGTTGATTCTTTTGTTATGTGTTTGAGATCCACACACTGAAGACATGGTTTCATATACCGAGCCATAAAAATGGAACTCTCGCTGAAATTGTGCAAGTAACAGCGCCCCTGGCCCTTGTACTTTTATTTATTTATTTTTTTAATGTGGTGTGTGTGTCGAGAAAGGCCAGTGGCCTGGTATAACTCACCTTTTCTCCTCAGTTAATTTTCCAGTTCAGGATCTTTGTATTTTCCTTTTCCCGGCTCTTCCCTGAGTCTCCAAGTGTTTTTGTGTCAGGCTTCCTTACTGTGCCGGGCATTCCTCACCTGAAGTAGGCATCAGACCACCCCGAGCTGGAAGTAGTCCGAGTCAGGGCGCGTGCTTGGGAAGTAATTCGAAATTCCAGCTGAGTTCTCCTGGGCTCATACCCACATCTGCCGCATTCCTTCCCACGACCCGGCACTTGGTGCTGACCCCGAGGGACCGCGTCAGGCGTCTTAGGCTTCTGTGTTTAAGAATTGCCCCTCATTCCCCCCCCCCGCCCCCGCATACGCACACGGGTAAGGAGAAATGCCATCCTAGCTGTATGTCTTGAAACAAATGAAGCCATGTTGGGTTTTAAATAATAGTTTATTTGAGCAGCTTTTACAAGAACAGAAACTGGAATAGTGAGGAATGGAAGTCGAATTTACCTGAAAGAGGGCTCTTTGCTTCCAGGGTATTTGAGAACCCTGACATCATTAGAAACGTTTGGCTTTGGTCATTCTTTAAGTGGAAATTGTCGCAGTTCTGGGGTTGAGATTCTAGCTCTTCTTTGATCTCTGCGAGCTGGGATTTCCTCTCCTGAGAATGGCCCGTGTGCGCACCGCGTGCGATGACGCCCCAGAGGGCCCGGGGCTGCAGGCCAGGCGCACCTGCCGCCGCGGTCCCCGGGTAACTCTCCCACTCCTGCCCTCACTTGCAGAGAACGTCGTACGAGTGGTACATTCCCAGAGGGATCCTCAAGACGGGCTGGATGAACAAGCACCTGAACCTGGTGCCGGCCCTGGTGGTCGTGTTCTACGAGCTGGACTGGGACGAGCCTCAGTGGAAGGAGAAGCAGTCGGAGTGCGCCACCAGAGTGGAGATAGTCAGGTCTGGCCTTCCCGCCTGTCACGCCGGCCCGGGCGGTCCGTGCCTGCGGCCGACTGACGTCGAGCGCAGGCAGCGGGATGCTGTTGAGACGGCGGGGGTCCCTTCGGGGATCGCTGGCCTCCAGCAAAACGTGTTCAGTTCCAGGCAGGAATAAGCTAATAGGAATAAGCTTTCCTATTAACTTACGTAATGCTAAGCAGAATGAAGAAATGAGGAGACGACTGGTCTGAGTTTCCAAATGCTTTTTCTTGCATGTAGAATACCTTTTGGAAGATAACAGTAATTTGCTCTTTCTTGAGTCTCATGATTCTTTTGCTGTATCCCCATTTCAATTTCAGTATGGTTCTTTTGAATGAGTACTTGTAATGTCTCACTATAAAGGTATTGTATTATAACTTTTATGTGAAAGTATAAAACATGCCTTCAAAACAGACTTTTGTAAGGATTAGGAGCTTGATGTGAGATTCTATTTTTGTAATTTAAATCATTGTGGCATATGTGTTTCTTTGCATGCAAGAAAAGATTTTCTCTAATTTGGGGAGTTTTTTAGTTGAAATTTATTTTTCTTTGAATTATCAAACTTATATTTTAGGTAAAGAATATATTTTTTTAAAAAACAATTTCACTGTTTAATATTATTTTTCCAATGCAGGCAAAGTTTACAAGGGAGAAACACGAAAGTTGCAGTGGTTCTGATTCAGAAGAAAACCCCTTTGCCTCCAGGTATCAAAAAGTTAATAAATGGTTAATTGCTTTATAGCTCCGATTCTTGTTACTAGGAAGAATAATTTTTGATAGTGAAATCTTTTATGCATTCAGTTATGGTAAATATAGTGTGTTAGCTTTAAAAAGTACAAATAATGCATGTGTAAATGCTTATTGTAAAAGAAAAATATCCAAGAGTGCAAACCTTTCTAATTCCTCCTCCCCGGTTGTGCTCGTCCCCCGATGTAGGCATGTATCATCGACAAAACAGCCCCTCGTTGGTGTTTAAAAAACGTTGTTTACGTATCTGAGATCTATTTGAGATTATATTCCTAATGTAACACTTTTTTTCTTAATTCGCCGTAGGGCCAAGAAAAATGCAGTGGGATTTCCAATTTCTCGTTAGAAAATGCCTGCGTTTCACATGCTTGTTTCTTCTACCTTCTCAGACATGGCGAGGCCACACTAGTTTTTGTGTCTGCGTGGAAACTTGCCGCGTCCTAGACCCACTGTTAGGACCTAGGGCTCCCGTTTTTAGGAGCAGGCGCGCGGCAGGCTGCCGGTGTCGCGCAGCCCACCTTGGCCCGGGAGGCAGCCCCACAGGGCCTTCCCAACAGACGTGCGCTGTGCCCCCCCCCACCGAGGGCCAGAGCAGTCGCGGGGCCAGGCGCCCTGCTGGCGTGGGGGAAGCGGTCTGGGTGTCGAGTCATTGGAGTGGTAGATGTGGGGAAGCGCCCATTGTGAAGAGCACACTAACTATGTTCTCTCTTCATCTTAATGGGCCTCGTCAACAGGAGAAGATGTTATTGCTTCAGAACGGGCTGCCGCTCTGTGTAACGCCTGCGAACTCTCGGGAAAGTCTTTGTTCGTGCTGCCCCACACCGACCACCTTGTGGGTTATATCATAAGGTAAAGAAAGGTCCTGAAATTTTTTTTTTTTAGATTTTTCGTTAGGCATTGGGAAACTGGTAGAGTAGACCCATTTATTAAAAGAAATCACGTGCTCATGGGAAAAATTCAAATGGAGAAAACCCCGTGAAGTTCCACCTGTTTGAGACTATGAATTGCACTCCCTCTCCAGCCGAGCCTGAGCCCGGCAGGTGCTTCTGAGACGAGCTTCCTGTCCCGAAGGAGCTCGAGCTGTTCAGCCACCTCCAGCCAGATGTTCTTTGTCCCCGGGCAGTCGCCAAGTCAAGGAGTGGGGCAGGATTTGACTCAGTGTTACTGCACCTCATTGGCCTGTTCCCATTTTGGTCCTTTTCCCATTAGTTTTCTTACTCTTTAAACCCTAAATACTAAAATCATAAAAAGGAGTGAAATCTAATCGAGTATTGGATATGTTTCTTTTAAACTTCTTTTAAAATTATAAAATAATAAAGGTGGAAATAATCTTAGAATGTACCTAATTTTTAGAAATTATAAAATGTTATTTTTATCACATTTTGGATTGCACATAATTTTAAATGGCTTTGCTGGAGTTTTACTTTTCGATTTTTTAAATCTAGAAATTCAGGTTATGTTTTGCTTCACTTTTTATCTTACTCATGAGGTAAACTAGATATTACTTCTGTCAGAATTTTACTTTCATTCCTTACAAATATGATTGTTAGTTTAGTTTAAAGTAACTTCAGTGTTTTAATATTTGTTTTTATTTTTTTAAAACAGATTAGAAAACGCCTTTTATGAACATGCACAGACTTATTACTACACTGAGATTAGAAGAGTGAAATCTCATAAAGAGTTTTTGAATAAAACAACACACCAGGTACGTGTTCGCTCCTATAGAAGGAAGCGCTAGAAACGTTCTGGGCAGATTGTTCGCTGCTGACTCATGAAGGGGAGGCGGTGAATGTCTTTACTACTTTGATGTTTTTAAGTGGCTTTGGTACATTTATTTATTTGTTGTCTTTATTTTTACATTATTTTTAATTGTATTGTTTCCGTTACCATTTACCCCCCCATGCCCTCTTTCACCTACTTTTAAAAAATTTTTTTAAAGCATTGAAAAGCTAATTTTTGTGTTCTTTGCCCTTGAAGTTCTTAAAAATAGATTTTTATAGCCTTGCTAACTATACTTACTTGTTGGAATAATTACTGAAATTTAATTTTGAATATTTTTCTTATATTTTTATGTCTTCTCTCAATAAAATTTACTAAAATTTTTATATTTTTAAGAATATGTGCAATAATGACTTTTTCTATTTCTTTTTAGCTTTTATTTGTTAGACATCAGTTCAAAATAGCTTTCTTCAGTGAGTTGAAACAAGATACACAAAATGCACTGAAGTAAGTCTCTGATAGTTGTCAAACTAAATTTCTCTTACCCTTATATTAACAATGACATATATGAATGGCCATTTCTGAATCGCAACCAAACTAATTAATTTTAAATATTGGTTTAGATGCAGATGTGTCATGTTTACTTTAGTTTGTCTAGAGATGAATGTAATATAGTATCTTTAGCTTTAAAAAATTCCATAATCGAAAGTAAATTTTATAGTGTTACAAGGCTTTCCGGTCTGCTCTAATTAAATGTCATGATCTAAAGGCACATAATGTTAAAATTTTCCCACTTTCTGCTTCTTACTTGTATATTCAGTAAAATGCTTGTGTTAAGAGTGATTTCCAAAGTTAAATATACATTACACATTATCTAAATCAGAGGGAATTGAAGGTGTGTAGTGCATTTATTCATTTCAGCTGTGATTTTATGTTTAATTAAATTGGTTTTTAGTTTACAGCGCCTGTCAGTAGTGTTGTTATTCATTCAGAGGCTCTGCTTGGAGCGTTGCCGAGCAGTTGCACATGCGCTGTCAGTGGTTAAGCATTTTATTCCTTTGCCACTATTTGATAAAACACAATCTCTTTCTAGCTTTATCTTAGGTTTTGAAGAATCCAATGGCAGTGTAACAAAGGGATAAAAGACAGCGATATATCCTAACATTGGGACAGGCTAAGTGTCCAGGGAGGAAAATCGGGGAATAAATAAAAATACCGCCCGGAGGATGGGTCTCCTCTCCAGCCTGAGACAGGACCAGTGATGGCCACTTCACTTGTGGAGACACTGGGTTTAAAAGCCATTGACCTGTGCTGTATGATGATACCTTCTTTCCTAACACAGTTTCTCTTTGCTTGAGAAGCTTGTGTTGATGCCTTTAAGAAATACTATTTTTTAACCGACTGCTAATTTTTAAATGTAACTTGGGACAACTAACTGTTCACTTTACTTTCGTTTTCCAACTTATTTTCTGTCAGTTATTGACAGGTGTTAATGACAGAACAATTTGTATGTAATGTACTGTTCTTAGTGAAAAGCCATTGAATCTTTTTGCACATTAATCAATATAGTCCTTCTCAGGAAATCAAAAATTAATGCACATGAAGGGCCCCCCCTCCCAAACGGGGTTATTTTCTGGAGGGCGGGCCCCGTGGAGTGCAGGCTTCCCCTGCTAGGTGCGTGTTGTGGGAACCCGTCAGCGTCAGTGCGCCAGCTGGGGGTGGTGTAAGAGGCTGCGTTCGGCTTCGGTGAATTCTTTTTGACGACCCTGTGAACACGTTTGCGCATTTCATGATGGGTGATTTATGAGCACACCTGCCCACACTGTGTCCTGAGTGTTGAGCAGTTTTTGACCCAAAACGGCATGACCCCTGTGTCCCACCCTCCCTATTCACCTGATTTCGACCAGAGTAACTTTTTTAATTCCCTGGATGAAAAAAGCCCTCAGAGAGAAACATTTTGCCGATGAGGAAGGTAAAACAAAAAGCGGCAGAAGCACAAAAAGGTAACAGAATCGATGAGTTCAGAAACTGTTTCGAGCCGTGGAAAAAAATGCCATGATAGGTGTATTGCATCAAATGGAGAGGACTTAGAAGTGACTGCAGTTCAAACATGTAAGAATAAATACACAGTTTTTTACGAGTAAATTCTGGGGTTTTTTTGGTCCCCCCTCATGTATGTTATTGAGCTGTTCAGGGGTAAGAAATGTTGTCAACATTGTTTCTGTTATTTTTAATTTCATTCTTAGGACTCTTACTAAAATTAATTTATAGCATAATTAACCACCTTCCTCATGTTTCTATTAGGAATTACAGGACTGCCTATAATCTTGTACATGAATTGAGAGCCCATGAAACTAATATTCTGGAAATTAAGACAATGGCAGGATTTATAAACTACAAGGTAATTGTTATAATTCCAAATAAGGAAAATTTGTTTTTAATGATCAGAATTTTTTTTACAATTTGAAAACCAAAATTAAATACGTGCTCTGAAAAGTATTTCTTTGATTGCGCTCCTCTTTTATGCCTGCTCCATAGTGGGGCCCTGGTGCTTGGCAGCCTCATCATAAAGCTTGGTTTTATGTTTCTGGGGGTCAGACTTCTCACTTAGAGCAGGTTTACTTTTGTAAAGCCCCCGACACGGGGTCTTTGGTTTTAGATTGGAGCAGGAAGGAGTGGGAGGAAGGTTGCCAGTTGTTGAATTTTAAAAGATGCAACATGTCAGAACAGTGTAAGGCTTCTTTGGTTAATGGCACAGCCACCGGAAAAGTGTATCTCTTCACCTTCACTTTTATACTTATTATTTATGTATTTCACGATTATATATGGAAGGAAGAGATGCCCCCAGAAGGCAAGTGAGGGCTATTCATTTTGCCTTTAATCATTCCACGCTCAGTATTTTAAAAAAGGCTGGCACTGGGTTGGTGATGTGAGGGCAGGTGGACACTTTAATTCTTCGTTTCTGTAAGTGGAAATTTGTCCAGCCTCTATAGAGACTATTTTTGCAATGACTACAAATTTAAAGTCGATAGATGTTCCCTTTGATCTAGAAAATCCATTTCAGGAAATTTATCTGACATGTGTGCTAAGACTTGCAAATCACACATATGAGGGTATTTATTATATCCTGTGATATGAAAAGATTGGAAACCACCTGGAAATAAGTGACTGGTTGACATAAATTATAACTCCAGTGGACTATTATACAACATTTAAGAATGAGGCAACTCCCCTGTTGAAATGGAATGAGATCCAAGATATATTTGCTGGATGAAAAATCAGGCACAAAGCAGCATATTTAGTGAGATGCTACCTGTATAAAAATAATAGTTTATATACGAACGCACACGCACACTCGTGTGCGCGGACCGGGTCATGAAAGCATTTTGGGTGCCTACTGCCGCTGGGAAGGCGGACAGGTGGCTCAGGGACAGGGACAGGTGAGAGGCTTGACATCTCAGGTATTTGTACTTAGAAAAATAAAACTGGTAATAACTGTACGGAAAGAAATTTAGGCCTTGTTTCTTCTGTTTTCCCTTTTACCCTGCATACATATAGATTACTGCTGTCTTGAAATAGAATCCCCAACCAAAGGTTGTTAAGAATTTTTGTAATCCTTTTTTGACATGGAAGTTACTGTGTTCTAGTGTGCTGCAGAAAATCTTTAGCTTCCTGACAATTGTAGAGCTGAAAGTTAACCTGTCCTTTTTTAGTTATCTGTTGGGGATATTTTTGCCCTTTTATGTTCTTCATTGGGTATATATTTTTTTTATTCTGTTTTATACTATTAAAAGGCTTTTTCTGAAGTATAGAGTAGACTCAGTACAATGCCGAATAATTCTATTTCATTTATCAAAGCGGGGAGCTCCAGTGGCGCAGTCGGTTAGCACGTAGTACTTAAGACTTATCAGAGGGATGTCCCCTGGTTTAGCATAACCATGCTGCCAGAGGAAATCAGTGCTGTTGCAGAGAACATTAGAGAAGGAAGCTCCGTATTCTTTCCTAAGTCAGTCTCAGAGTTGACACATTTTTAAGTGAATATAAGCCTTTTGACTTTGATTTTCTTTTTTCTTTTGGGGTTGATTTTACATTTTGCAGATCTGTAGGCTGTGTTTTCAACACAACACCCCATTGGATGCAATCGCTCAGTTCCGAAAACACATCGACTTGTGCAAGAAAAAAATCGGCAGTGCAGAGCTGTCTTTCGAGCATGCTGCGTGGATGTCTAAACAGTAAGTTTCACATTGTACTTTTAGAATGTTCAAAAAAAAAAAAAAAACACTTAGGATTTGGAGGGATGGAAACAGCATAGACTTTGGTTCTAAATTTAACTAAGTTATTAGTCAATAAGTAGGTTTTTAATGATCTTGTATGTTTCCAGTAATAGTAAATATTGATTCATACCGTTCCTTAATGGGAATCAGTTCATTTATGGCACTATCTCTTTCATTCAGTGTATAGTTATTGAGTTTCTCCCATGTTTCTAGGTCCTGAGAATATAGCAGAGAACAAAAATTGCCTGCTGGTCTGGAACTTGGTGTTTGAGACCGGTGTTTAAAACTTGCTAAAATGAAATCGTTCCCAGAAACATAGCTGTATTGGCGTGGAGGGGACTATTTTGACATTTGGTTTGGGCGGATATTTATGAAGGCTTGCCAGCCCTGCGGTTGCCTTAGATACAGACTCTGTCTGTTACTCACAGTTAATTCGTGCGTATGAGTATCCACACAAGGAATCCCGCTGATTTACAGTTTACCAGTTGCATTACTTTAATACAGTCTCTGAGGTCATGGTTCCAGGATGAATAATTACAGAAGTAAGCTTTTTTTTTTCTTTTTCATTCTTTTTTTAATTTCTCGATTTTTTTTTCCTTTTTAGATTCCAGGCCTTTGGAGATTTGTTCGATGAAGCTATTAAATTAGGGCTGACAGCCATTCAGACCCAGAACCCTGGCTTCTATTACCAGCAGGCTGCCTACTACGCCCAGGAGCGGAAGCAGCTCGCGAAAACCCTCTGTGAGCACGAGGCAAGTGGCCGGCCCCCGCAGGACTTGGCACTTAGGAGAGCGAGTCCTTCTCTCTCGAAAGAAGAGAAAGCTAATGGGTGTGGGTAATTTTTGCCAAGCCTTTGAATATGATCAGTTTTTTTATTTTCAGGAATTACAATTATTTTCAGTTTTAGCCCGAGTACTCCATTTTTACCTGAGGGCTCAGTTTTCACCTGTGACTTCAGCAGAAGCTTTTCTTTGAAGGACTGTTATGATGGTCAATGAGCTAGTGAGTTAGACAAGAGAAAATTACATTGAAATAAAAGCCACAGTTTAGTCCATGCCACACTGTAAATCCAGTATTTTGTTTTTGCGATCACATCTGTAGAAATTTGAAGGCTTGGGCTTTGTTTTGGCTCGCCAAAGAAAATAGCCTTTGGACTTCTTTCTCTTCCTGAGGATTTTCTCTATGGAAAACTCTTAATAATCTGTTTGAGACATAATGTTAATTGCATAGTTTCTTAAACTTGATGTTTCATTTTGCCTTTCTTTTTGATAATTATATTTAGAAACCAGTTTCCCCGTAAGCACCTTTAAAATAAGAACATGGTGTGTTGTATAAATTCACTTTTGTTCATATAGTTATATCAGTCTATTTCCACTTAAAATTTACAGTTTTCTTCTCTGAAGATAGGTGACTATTATCAACAGTACTACTTAAAAAACTGTTTCAAAAACAGTGAGCACATTAGTACTTTAATATATGGATTTTTTCTTAAATGGTAACATAACTAGACTATTTTCTACCATATTATTTGATTATGACATAACTTTATTGCATGTTTTATATTGTAAAAGTTTGGGATATTGTAATTTGAATGCAGTATTTCAAAAGATTTTAAAATTAGGTTTTATAAGGACATGAGGAAATGAGCATTAAAAAATATCATAGGCTGGGACATAAAATAATATTTCTGTGAAATAATAATTTGAGAAGCCTCAAAATCACGCATATCTTTTGAACCAGAATTTCATTTTCAGGAAATCTAAAGCAGAGAGATCCTGAGATAAGTACTGAGATTTATTTATAAAGTTGTTCTGACAGATTGACTAATTGTAACGTAAAATAGAAACAGCAAGATGAACGACTGTGGGGAGTTTATTAAAATGTGGAACAGCAGGCAGCCATGAAAAATCATGTGTTAGAAGAACATTTAATGGTATGGTGAAATGAACAGGTTACATACAAATGAAAAAAGCAGGGTGAAAAATTATGCCAGCTGATAGGATGAATAAATGTATACAAAATCTGGAAGAATCATCTATATACTGTTAACAGTGGCAGTAGGTTGACAAGTAATTTCAGTTTTTATCCTTATTCTTTTGGATGTATTCTGCAGTTTTCAACAATGTGCTTATATTACAGTTTGGTTTCAGAGGAGAAAAATTATGGAGAAGAAAAATAAAGCAGTATAAATTTGTAAATTCTGGTGCCAAAAGTATCCCTCCCCTACCAATACCAGGACTTAAGCACAACTGATACACAAGGAAAATAGTATCTTTTTAAAATTCCTTATAGCATTCTTTTCATTTGCACAAAAAGCTCTTATACATATGGAATGAACAGTTATAATTTGTAATATTTTTACCAGTTTATTACAGCAAAGGTCAAAAGATAATGTAAAGAAATTATGGTAAGTCCTCATTTAACATTGTTGATAGAGTCTACGACTTTAAGCTGAGTGATGTGTCATGAAACCAGCTTTTCTGTAGGTGAACTGATCGAACCAGAGTTAAGTCCCTACAGCATTTCATCATCAGTGTCATAGTGACGTGACGTTATTCGAGGATTTCCTGTCCCTTGCCCTTATTTGTCAGAATCAGGACGATTTACTCAATTTAATTGTTCTGGGACCACCTGAACATCAAATGCAACATTTTGGTTTAAGTACTGTGAGAATTTAATTTGTGGTAAAAGAGTCACATCTTTGGTGTTTGAATGTGCTTGGTATTTGTCTATATGAATACCTTTTTATTCTGCCGGAATTGAGGGCAAGCTGGCTTGTGGCGGATTACATCAGCTCTTACTCGGGCTGTGTTTTCATTCACAGGCCTCCGTCCCGTACCCCAGCCCTGACCCCCTGGAGACGCAAACAGGCGCCCTTGACTTTTATGGACAGAGGTCATGGCGACAAGGAATACTAAGTGAGCAGCCTCTCCCTCTGCCCGTTGCTCCCAGCCCCAACCGCCAGCCGCTGCTGGCCTGCTGTCCTAGCTGTCCTGCGGGCGTGGCTGCCTCAGGCCCACCCAGTTATGTGCACGTGGAAATGTGTGCTTGGTAAACGTGTTTTTAAAAAGATTTTCAAGTTTTTACAGTGTTTTGTTTGTATCACTGCATCTCAGAATAACTTAAAATTGAAGATGTGGATACAATAAAAATAGTAATATTTGGATGTCTTAAGTGACACAATAAGCCACTCTGGTCTATTTAAATATTTTAATTCCAGTTAATTTTATTGATTTTGTTGACATTTGAAATAGCATTAGTTTGTTTCATCTTACAAATGATTTCTCTGCATCTTTTGTATCTTATACATACTTATTTAATTTGGGCATTTTCTGTAGCAAGTGTTGAGAAATTACTTACTCTGCTCTCCAGGAAGTGCAGTCTGTGAGAATGATGTTGGTTTTATTCTCCAGGTGGTTGGCTTCACCTGGCAAAAGACTGTCGAGCTCAGTGATATTCTTTTTAAAACAGAGGTCACAGAGAATTACCATGCTAATAAAGCTGTCTCCTAGAGTCTTTAAAATTCTAGAATGTTTAGGAATTTTAAATACATCATACCAAAGGATTCAAGGAGTGTATACTCCAGCGTTCATGTGAAGGATTTATGTTAAATGAGCTGTCTAAAATGGGTTGTGTCTTATCTGATATAGGTTTTGATCTTTCTGATCCTGAAAAAGAGAAGGTGGGAATTCTTGCCATTCAGCTGATGGAGAGAAATGTTGTTCACTCTGTAAGTTGTTTTTTCTCCCCAGTGCCAACTGTTTTTTACACTATTCAAGGAAAACATGAGATTATTTTTACTGGAACATTTCACACTTTATCTTTTCTAACAGGAAATAATAATAACTCTTCTGAGCAATGCTGTTGCGCAATTTAAGAAGTATAAGTGTCCAAGAATGAAAAGTCATCTAAGTACGTATTCATAACAGGCCACAATTTCATCCAGTTGTGAATAATTTTAAATTGTATACATTAAATCTTTTTTCCTTTATAGTGGTTCAGATGGGAGAGGAGTATTACTATGCAAAGGATTATACCAAAGCTTTGAAGTGAGTCATAGTTACTGTTTATTTTTACAAGTATTCTGATTTTCTTATAGAAAAATTAGAATGAAAATTTGTACTGAAGAATTTATTATTTCCATATATTTTTCTACTTTTATTAAACTCCATTGCTGAGATACTTTTTCAAGTACCATCTACTAATACAATCATTTTCAAAGTCTTAGGAAACCTCACATGTAGCTAAACATGAAAATACCTGTTAAACTGTTTTAGGAGGCTTTTCTGAAGTTTCTATAAAACGAGGGAAGCACTTCATTTTCCTCCAGAACTCTTCAGCCCTTCGTGGGAAGCCGTTTCAGCCCGTCTCGCCTTCTGCCGTCCTGCAGGTTGCTGGACTACGTCATGTGTGATTACCGGAGTGAAGGGTGGTGGACTCTCCTCACGTCGATCCTGACGACCGCTCTGAAGTGCTCCTACCTCATGGCCCAGCTGAAGGATTACATTACTTACTCCCTGGAACTCCTGGGGAGAGGTAACTGGGTGTTCTTCCTGTAAAATTCTGAATTTTTAAGATCGTTTAGCAACTTTAAAAAGCTTCTTAAAATTGGAAGAATAATTGTCTCAAATGTTTGGTGGTACTTTTACTGCGTGCAAGTCACTTTGCGATGTGATGGGATTCATACCTTTCGTGGAACTTAGAGTAGTTGAGGCTCTTCTTGTAGTTGAGAAAAACAAAATTCTTCTGCCTTTTTAAAACATGGCATAAAATAATTTTTCACATAGACTCAAATGGAAGTATATACAGTGTTGGGGCTGACCTTTAAGGAAGCTGCGCTCTCCGACAATTTTCTGGAATTGTGCTAAGCAGAGATATACAGTATTTTAGTTCCGTAAATGGGGGTAGTGGACTCACTTCCTGTCTTACAGTTCTACTTCTTTTCCCTCTTCCTTCATATTAGCTTCAACTCTGAAAGATGACCAGAAATCTCGGATAGAAAAGAACCTCATAAATGTTTTAATGGTAGGTTGAAATTTTTTTTTCTTTTTAATTTTTTTTTTAATTGATTCTAGAGGGGGGGAAAGAAGAAAAGAGAAGGAGGGAAACATTGATGTGAGAAACATTTACTGGTTGCCGCCTTGCATGCACCCCAAATGGGTACTGAATCCACAACCCAGGCGTGTGCCCTGAGTGGGAATCGAACTGGCAGCCTTTTGGTTTGTCATGTCCCCCAACCAACTGAGCCACACCGGCCCAGGCTGGAATGCTTTCTGTAAAATAAGTTCTAGGGCTGTGTGTACTTAGAGCTATATCTTTTCATACATATCAGTTACAATTAGCTGAACGGCTTTTTACCCCTGTTTTGGTGCAGAATGAAAGCCCTGACCCCGAACCTGACTGTGACGTCTTGGCTGTGAAAACCGCTCAGAAGCTGTGGGCGGACCGGGTCTCTCTGGCCGGCAGCAATGTTTTCACAATAGGAGTCCAGGACTTCGTGCCATTTGGTGGGTAGCCAGCGTCTGCACTGGTATTGCAGGGATGTCTTCCTTATCACTGCAGAATGAATAGATGCAGAGCAATAATTATGAAAGTCAAAGAAAGAACTTTCAAAGTCTAGTCATTTTAATAGGGACGCTGACTTTTTTCTTTTTCTCCACTGATGATCAAAATTTTAAATAGTTTATGTCTTAAATTTACTTGGTTGGTTTGTAGTTCAGAGGTTATGTGAAAACACATTTGAAAAGACTGTTATTTAAAACAGTTATGTTTTCCTGTTTAGGGCAGGTATTTTGAAATAAATGAAAAGTAACAAAATGATTCTTCTTCCTTTAAAGCTTTGTGTCAGTTACATTTCAGGAGCCACTGTAGGTCATTTAAATTTGGTTTGCTTTTAAAAAGTGAGCTATGAGTGTGTCTGCTGATATGCTTCCAGTGCAGAAGTCAGTAAGAATACCCACTGCAGGTGGATCCACTCTGCAGAGGAGATGCGGGTCAGAGGAGGGTGCAGGGTCTAGAGTGTGAGCCGGGTGTGACTCCGCCTGCTTTGTTTTATCTCTAGTGCAATGCAAAGCCAAGTTTCACGCCCCGAGTTTTCACGTGGACGTTCCTGTGCAGTTTGACGTTTATCTGAAGGCAGATTGTCCACATCCTATCAGGTTTTCTAAGCTCTGTGTCAGCTTTAACAATCAGGTAAGGGTGCCCTTTAATGTGTCTTCACCATGTATGTGTCTTGTTCCAGCTTGAGTCAAATCAGAGAAAATGAGCCTTGTAAGTTTTAGGTCTTAATGATTTGGTAGTAACAAATTAAAAATTGATGTATTTATAGTGCTCAACTTCTGTGTCAGTAATTCAAATTTTATATTTTTCCTACTATTTTTGTTTTTCGTCCCATGCTTGTAAACTCTAAGCACTTTGTCTATGCATTTTTGTAATATATAACTTGAATTTCAAATGAGATATTCAGAATAGTATAATTTTCGAATCATTTGTTTCACGATCTATCAGTGATGTTAGTTTTTCATTACTAACCTGCTACATGTTTGATATTGAAGAAATCGAGGTGGGATAGACGGAAGTGAAGAGTATGTGAATGTGTTCTCCTCCACTTCCACCCCTCAGAGCTCATCACTACTAACTTCTTGAATAGTCCAGACATTTTTGGCACACACATGCAAACGATGTTTTCTGCGGAATTGCGGTCATACCATGCTTCCTGTATTTGAGCAGACTTCTGCCGTGTGGTACAGTCTAGTAAAGTCCTGGTTATGTTCCAGCTGTTTCAGTTACAGGCTCCCTGGATAGAGAATTACCTCCTGGTCCCCCAGGAAGCCCGGTGAGCCTCTGACCGACCAGCACTTTTTGAGAGTTACGGCATTCCCAGTATCGTGCCGAGCCCGAAAACACGGAGTGTGTGTGAACCCCACTGAAATACGAGCATTTTGGCGGGGGGGACCAGGACCGACTCACAGGTTGCCGGGGCAGGCGAGGAGGACTAAACTGTGTGCTGCAGGCTGGGAGTGCAGCTACAGTAGGCACGCTGAAGAAAAGGGAGGCAGGTTGAAGGCTGGAGGTGAAATCACAATGGGTGTTAAAAGCGAGCGTGGAGGACGTGCTTGGCGGTGGGGAAGCGGAGGGGCCTGCTCTGTCTGTGGGCGCGTGGGGCTCAGGTGGCGGTCGGAAGGAGCTGGGAGAGTTAAGCGGAAATAGGCTACTAAATAGAAGTCTTGTACGGTTCACTCATTCATTTGTGTTCTATCTGTCCATTTATTTATTGGATGGAGGTCAAGAGTATCAGCTGTTCTAATAGGTTTTTGGGTTTTTTTTTTTTATGAACTTCGGTCACTTGAAGATTAGGGTGTTTTATTCAACTTGAGATCATTACCCAAGGATTCCTTCTAATTAGTTTGAGAGTTTTAAATCAAAAGCTTTAAGGAATTTTATTCCAGTAGCAAAATAGAGGGAAAGAAATATTGCGGAAACGACCCGGAGGCTGTTGATATGGACCCAGGTGCCAAGGACACCGGCCCTGACGTGCGCGGCATCGTGTCCGAGGCTCGGGATGGGGGGCCGGAGGCGGAGGGAAAGGGGGCCGGAGGCACGCCACCAGGCCTGGGCTGCCGAGTGCGCGTGGGGGACACGGGGCGGGGACAGGGAGAGTAGAGGGCAGGTCTTTTGTGAAGGACCTGAACATACCTTATTTACCTTTTAATTAATTAATTTTTACAGCTTAATTGAGATAGGATGTACAACACTGTGTGAGTGTAAAGTGCACAACATGATGGTTTGGTACCCGTACGTATTACAGAATGAGGACCCCAACAGGGTTAGTTAACACCCATCGCCTCGCGTGATGGCCTTGTGTGCAGGTGGGGTGAGGACATAGGAATCCACTCCCTCAGCGACTTTCAGTGATACGAAACAGTGTCGTTGCTTACAGCCGCCATACTGTGTGGCAGAGCCCCGAGCTTCCTCATCCTGGGACTGTTGGTCTGTGCCCTTCCACCAGCACCTCCCCGCGCCCCCCACCCCTCGGTGACTGCTGTTCTACTCGGCATCTGTGAGCTCTGCTTCTCTGGGTCACAGATTTCAAACATAAGGGAGGTCGCGCAGCACTGGACGGGAGCATTAGTACGTGTTTCACCTGCGTGGACAGGCTTCCCTCCGCTCTCTGTCTGCTTATTTCCTCCTTTTATCCCCGGAAGCCCCACTTCCTCAGGGACACCGCCCTGCCCCTCGCGACCACTGACCCGGTCAGCCTCCGCAGCCCAGCACGGTGCTTCTCACAGCTGTGCTCTCGCTTGTGTCTGTGCGATCATTCGGTAAATACCTCCACGAGGACAGATAATTTTAGGGTAGAGTTAGAGGTATTCATGACGGAGGTGGTAGCACAGAGGTGCGGAATAGGGAGACGCAGAGCATTGCAGTGACGTCACCATCAAAAGGAAAGAGCCTGAAAGCCCAGGGCTGAGGCGTGTGGGACCTGAGGTTAGGGGACGCGTGGACGAAAGCAGGGCCTTTGGCGGGAGCTGCAGTCCAGGAGGGTGAGGAACACGAGGCCGTGTCGTGTCGTAGAGGCCAAGGGGAAAGAAAGCTGCTTGGAGAAAAGAGGACAGTGTCCGATGCAACAAAGAGTAGTTACCTTCGCTTCTCTCTCCAGGAAGGGGAGGGCTGAACGTTTTTAGAAATCGGTTTGTGTGCAGGGAATCCTCTCTCTTCTTGTGGCAGCAGTGAGTGGATAAGGGCCGCCATTGCATTAAAAACTGGCATTTCTTCATAACCCTTCAGAATGCTCCCGTTTTAGTGGAGGTGAACTTAACGAGCTCCAACTCACGCGGTGTTTGGTGTCAGCAAAATGTGTGACAGTGATGTGTGTCAGCTGTGGCTCTTGCTAACCTGTCTTTCAGGACTACAACCAGTTCTGTGTGATCCAGGAGGCATCCAAAGCGAGCGAGGTTTTAGAGGACGGGACTCAGGGGAAGATGTGCTTAGTTCCTGGTAAAACAAGGAAGTTCTTCTTTAAATTCGTTGCGAAAACTGAAGATGTGGGAAAGAAAATTGAGGTTAGTTATGAAACTTATTTGAGAGATTTCAAATGAAAAAAGTATATGTGTATGTCAGAAAATTTTGAAATAACATAGAAGGAGACTAAGAAAAAAATGAACACCTACCACTGGATTTCCCAGGGGAAGCCACCGGTGATGGTCTGGGAGGCTCCCTCCACTGAGAACGCACTGTGCACAGTGTTCAGCAGGTGGCCTTTTTACGTGTGTGTGTGTGTGTGTGTGTGTGTATGACGTCATTCCCTGTCAGTACGTAAGACTGACCTTAGTGTGTTAATGGTCGCACAGTCCCTTAAGGAATTTTAAACAAAATGTATAATTTATACAGTATAGCGATTATATTTTGTATAGCATGACAATTCAGTCTAAAGATTTCTATCATTTCGATGTCTGAACATTGCTGATTGCGTATTTTTGAAGGAAAAAAATGAGCGAATGTATTTGGAGGATCCATGTAATGTAGGTAATTAAAACGCCTTTCAGACACACATGATGGAAATAATTTTCTGTTGAGCATGCGCTCCGGAGCCAGACCACGTGGGTGTCAGCGCCAGCTCCCCAGCGTGCGGCCCTGGCGGGTCCCGGACCTGTGTGTGTCTCAGTTGATTCGTCTATAACATGGCGATAAAAGCAGTATCTTCCTCTTAGTAGTTCAGGAGGACTAAACGAGTGAATTGATGTGGGTGGAACTGAGTGGCGACCAGTACGTAGTGAGCGCTCGTTGCGTGGCTGCTTTCTGTGGCCTGAGTGAGAGTGGTTGGCTCAGGCAAACTCGGGCCATTTTTCTAAGATAGAAACTAAGACCGTACTGCCAATATTCCCGTAACAAGTTACTGAGAATCTGTGGAATTATTAGCCAACATCCAGAGTTTTTTGCTTACTCATTTTAAAAAAACCTTCATGATTTTGACTAAATTACATATTTTTTACAAGGTACCTAAGGAAGCCTACCAGGTGTAAATCGTAATTCATACTATTTGGGTAATTTGCTAATGGATTTAGTTGAAAGGAACAATTATTCAAGTAGCAAAGAATTTCATTGCTAATCCAGTAGACGTCTTCAGGGAAAATGTGCGGAGCGCGGTTACGAGCGTACAGCCGGCTCTGCAGGCAGGCGTGGACTTCACTCCGCAGCCCCTCGTCGAGCCTCGCTTAGGTCAGGCACTGTGCCAGGGCTGAGGTCCTCACAGCCGGTGCCTGAGCTGCAGGTCAGGTTCTTATCTCTGCTTCAGGGTAAGGAGGTTGAAGCCCGGCGTGCCACTGCCAGTGCCCCCGCTGAGAGACAGGGTGGATGAGAGCCGGGGTGTTCGGTTCTGTGACACCCCGGGTTTCTCGGCGGACTCCGTGGGCCAGCGCCGTACGACGTGATTTGTTGAGGGTGGTCGGCGACAAACAAGAGCCGTGCAGACATTCCTGACAGACCTCCTCCTTTTAGATCGCCTCCGTGGATCTGGTCCTGGGCCACGAGACGGGAAGGTGCGTGGTTTTAAACTGGCAGGGAGGAGGGGGAGACGCGGCCTCGTCCCAGGAGGCCTTGCAGGCCTCACGCTCCTTCAAGAGACGGCCCAGGCTCCCCGACAGCGAGGCTCATTGGGACGGCGTCGTGATCCAGGCAAGCACGATGTAAGTCAGCCTGGCCAGGCCTGTTGGGGACGGTCCTCTTGTTTCTTATAAGTTCTGTGTTTGAATAATTTGATGTTTAAAACGACTGATCACTTAGCTACGGTTTTCCCCCAAAGGATCATTTCCAGAGTTCCGAACATTTCGGTCCACCTGCGGCACGACCCTCCTGCCCTGACGAATGAAATGTATTGTCTGGTTGTGACTGTTCAGTCCCACGAAAAGAGCCAGATCAGAGACGTGAAGCTCACTGCTGGTTTAAAACCCGGTAAACGGCCCTTTCAGGTTTGGTCCTTGTTAACGCGACAAAATAGCCGCGGTGGTGTCGGCCCCGGGAAGTCCGTGGAAACACGGTCCTGACGTGGCGCTCTTTACGCAGTATTGCTTGTGAGAATGATGTTTCAGCTCTGCATGTTCAAACACCAGTATGAACGCTTTCAGGCCAGGATGCCAATCTGACACAGAAAACGCAGGTGACCCTGCGCGGAACAGACGTGTGCGACGAGTCCTGCCCCGCGCTGCTCACAGACATCCCGGCCGGGGACCTGCAGCCAGGGGGCCAGGTGAGCTCCGGCTGCGGGGGGCCGGGGGGGCTCTGCTGGCCTGTCGTTCTAAGCGTGCGGCGAGCTTCGGAGCGCTTGACTGGCGTTTCCTGAGACTGAGCAAGCGGCTTAACGAAGGCACATTTTATGTTTAAATGTGCAAGCTGTTTTAAGCAGTTTTTATACAGGGGATTTGAGAACAAATGACCCTAATATGGAGAATTAGCTGCCTGATAAAAGTAACTAAATAATACTGAATAATCGCTCAGTAAGCTTTGTTTCCACACCAAACACAAGAATTCCTGGGAAGCTGGGGATGATGATAAACAGATGCAGTGATAAGGACCCCACTCACGTGCTCTGGCCGGAGCGGCCTGTGACAGGTGCTCAAGAATCTAGCCAGTTGGTATGGTCAGTTATACAGGTGGGAACAGTGTCCTAGAATATGCAGCAGGTGGGACTCTGTACTAGTAATTAAATTAAAACACTTATTTTTTTACAGCTGGAAAAAATGTTGTATGTTCGCTGTGGAACAGTGGGTTCCAGAATGTTTCTTGTGTATGTTTCTTACCTGATCAATACAACTATTGAAGACAGAGAAATTGTTTGCAAGTGTCACAAGGTATTTTTTTCATAGCCACCTCAGGAGGCATCCTTTGTGGAGTATTCCTATTGCATTATTTTAGTTTACTTGTAAAATAAGCAGTTCGGGGTTTCTAGTCTATTACAAATTTCTATTGAAATCTGTTGATTTTTTTACTCATTTATATTGATTATAAACAATATGATACGGCATGCAGTGCTCCAACATTAGGAACTTGGCTGGCATGGCTTTTCACAGAGAGTCAAATGGTTTGAGGTCTCACGCCAACACGTCTTGAGACTTTAAACCTGTCTGCCTCTTTCCAAAGTCACACATTAGATAAACTCGTAAGTTGGCATGTAACGATTATAATATGATGTATATAATACAGTAATATTATACTTCTAAAAAGCTAGCTCGAGAGCTTGAAAAAGGAAATAACTTGGAGCCTGTGATGCTGCTTTGGGCAGACCGCGGAGGGCTTTCTGTGCGTCGCCCCATTTGACTACTGCGGCAGCCCGGTGAGGGCTGTGGGCCGGACCTGGCGCGGTCGCGTCGGCTTCCCGGTCGCACCGCCGTGTCCAGGGTCCTCACGGCTGGTGTGGGTCTCGCGAGGGTTAGAATCCAGACCTGTCTGGCATCGCAGCCTGCGTTTTCTACCCAACAGGGGGGGTTGTTCGTTTCCAGAGATCTAATGACTCCACTGGCTTCGAGCAGGCTTTAGAGAGGAGAGGTAGCCTGCCACTTTAGGCTGCGCTCCAGGGTCAGACTTGGTTAGGTTTCTGCCTTTGTCACTTACCAGCCACGTGAGGACATCTTCCGAGGGCGGTGACAGTGGCGTCTGTTTGCTTGCGTTGAGGAGCATTAGGTAATCTGGGTGTAGCGATTACAGCGCTATCGTGTTACCTAGCCCTTATCATCCTTGTTACTTCCTCATCCTGGGGCGAGGTGACTGAGAAGGCCCAGATTCCGTGCTTGGCGCCGTGGGCTTTGGGGCCTGTGGCCAGTCACTTAAAACCTCTGTGAACCTCTGGCCCTTCTGCTGTAGCCTGGCGACAGTGCTGCCCTGCGCGTGTTCCCTGGACCCCAAGACAGGTAGCGTGTAAGGAAGCGCTTGGTAGTGCGGAGGTAACACCGTAAGGGTTACTTAGACACAGTAGCCTCGTCTCTCTGTGGGGATTTTGACCGGTATCTAAGGGGAAAGTCGTAGCTTCTTCCTATAGGAAGCGGGGGCATTTATGTCGATTGCTTTGAATGCTGTGTGTGTTTAAAGCTTTATGTATCGTTAAGGTTTAGAAAACCATTGCCCGGGCCTTTTTCATTTCCTGCAGGATGAAACTGTAGCAATAGAAACCGTCTTTCCATTTGATGTTGCCGTTAAATTTGTTTCTACAAAGGTATGTCCCCGTGCAGCATCCTGGCAATCATTTAGGTTCTAGAAATTAACAGAAAAAAACGAAATGGATCTGTCACTCCTGACAGACCTTCTGTCTTCATTTGCGACAGTTCGAGCACCTGGAGAGGGTCTACGCTGACATCCCCTTTCTGCTGATGACAGACCTTTTAAGTGCCTCGCCCTGGGCCCTGTCCATCGCCTCCAGCGAGCTCCAGCTCGCTCCTTCCATGACGTCCGTGGATCAGCTGGAGTCCCAGGCGGACCAAGGTGAGGAGGGGGCGGTCCCACGGCAGCCGCAGGAGACGGTTGTGTGTGCGCACGCCTGCGTGCCCGCGTGTGGGCTGGCAGTGGCAGAGTCAGCCTTTGTGAGGGACGGGCCCTGAGACTTATGCTCACAAAAGCAAATGCATTGAGAATGAAGGTGGGATTAGCGTCATTTATAGTTTGCTTGAGGATACCTTATTTTAAAAAATCAGATTTTTGCTACACAAAGGAAGTTGCTTTTTGGAAAACATACTTTAAAACAATACAGCAGGTCCTCGAATAACATTCTTTTGTTCAGTGTTGTTTCATTACAACGTTGATGAGATGCCACAGGAACCTAACCTCTGTTTACACCCCTGAGCCTGTGGTGAATTGGTTTGGCTACACGTCACTTCCCACGAAGCGGCAGCTCTCCCTTCTGCGCATCTCTTGAGTCCTGCTTCTTCCCTCCATTCTCGCTGCCACCCTCCCTGGCCCGGTCCCCGCTGGCCTTTGGAAATAGCTTCTCAACTCACCGCCTCCCGGCCATTCCCACCCTTCGTGTACCTTGCCTGCTGCTCCAGAGTTGGATTCCTCAGAAAACTGTTTGGAACTCATCGTTCCTTCTTTAAAAACTCCCTGGCAGCGCGCCAGACCTTTGCCAGGCAGGCTCGCTCCCCGTGGCAGCGACTTCCACACCGGCTTCCCCGCCCTCGGCCCCTCGCAGGCCCCAGCCAGGCCAGACGTTGTCAGTCCGCAGAGGCGCCCCGTCCGATTGTGAACCTCTTCCTGCTTCTCCTCAAAGCCCTGTCCCCCTGCCTCCCTGGCCTGCTGAGCTCCCGTTGGCCCCTCAGGGCCCATCATGCTGCTCGGACCCTCTCCTCCCCAGCAGAGCCGAGCCCCCGTCCCCCTCCCGCCCAGGGTGCCAGGACGCGCCGCTCTCACGGGCACTCCCCACCCGCCCTCGCTGCGTCGGCACAGACAGGCGCCCCGCTACACCATGTGCCCCTCGAGAGCCGGCGCTGTGACTTCCGCCTCCTCTCTGTTCTGCCAGCCTCATGCTTGTTAATCAGTGTTTATTAAAGTAATGATTACTGTCCAGTTTTTAAGATAATAAAAGCCAGGTTTTATTATCTTAAAATTCTTGCGGTCGACAGTCCTTGGATCAAGGGGCTGGCAGGGCTACGTTTCCATAGGCTCCAGGGAAGCCCTTCCCGACGTCCCTGCAGCGTCCGGGGCCACTGGGTGTCCTCGGCTCGTGGCCCCTCCCCGCTGTGTCCTTGGCCGGCTGTGTGGCATCCTTGCATCTCCTTCTGTGACCTCCGCTTCTGTTGGTCACCATCTCCTCCTCTCCTCCGTCTCTTCCTTACAACCCTCGAGGCTACATTGGGCCCAACTAGCTAATCCGGTATCATCTACCTATTTTAAGATCCTGCCTTACACCTGTGAAGTCCTTTTTGCCACGTGAGGTAACAGTTAGACGTTCTGGGAATGCAATATGAGTCTCTGGGGAGGGGCAGCGTCGCCCTGTCTGCCACCTCCAGGGACACCAGCGCTTCACGCACGGTGAACCGTGTGTGGTACATTAAACACCACAGCTCTCCCAGGCCCCTCAGTAACCCTGATGTCAGTTAAAGTTAGAGGTCGGGTGGGTTAACTTCTTAGAATTAGGGAGGACTTTGGGGGAATTCAGTATGAACACTCCAGGTTTTTAGAAAAGCTGTTCTTGGAGGTTTGAACAGATGAGGGTTTTACTTACTGCATTACATTGTCATTTCCTAGTCCTTAAAAATTACTTACAAATAATTAATTCAAGTAAAGTTTAACCCAATTTTCTTTTTCCTTTTTCATTTCTAGTACCTACCCATAATTGTAACCATTAATTTATCACAGTCTTCTCCATTGGAAAACCATGAAAGCAGTTACTTAACGTTTAGAGACTTTGTTGTTATTATGAGGCTTTGCTCAGAGCTTTGCAGAAGCTGGCACTACATAGGCACTGTTGCCAGCTCGCCTTTAAACGTGGGGCCGATGCTGCAGGCTGGGACGTGCCGAAGGGCAGAGCGGGCTGGGTTTAGAGGAGTGTTTGTCCAGCTATCAGATTTACTATCAAACTGGCAAGGGGTGTGCATCCTTGCACAAGAGAGAGGGAAGTAGCTACATGAGGCAGTAATGAGGCAATATATGATGTATTTCCATGTGGTGACACCAACAAGGATTCAGAGAAAGTAGTTTTCTGGAATAACACTTTGAGTACCTCAAGGGGTAACTAAAATTACATTGTTTTTGTTTTTTCTATTGTGAAATGTTTTCTTTGGAGACATGAAATAATTTGGAGAAATTAAAACAAAGACCAAAAGGCACGACTCGGACTCTAGAACCCCCTTTGAGTGGTCCTCGCAGGAGCCTGTCAGAGGCGTGCGGGTGCCTCGCCCACTTTTATTATAGTGGAGCATCGCTAGGTTAGAGAAAGCCCTGGCTCGGGGCCCTGTGACCTCGAAGAAGTCACGGAGCATCTCCCCGCCTCAGGGGCCGAGCCTCTGGCACCGGGCCTCTGGCGCCGCCGTGGGACACGGTGTCCTTTTCCCGGCGTGCGGCTCCGCTGTCGACGTCCCTCTCGGACGCGTCCGAGCGGGAGGTGGTGAGGCTCTCGCTTGTAGTTGTCTTGCAGACCGGCGAGAGCGCGAGCGAGTGCTTCTGCCTTCGGTGCCCGTCCTCTGGGAATGTCGAAGGTGGAGTAGCAACTGGGCATTATGTTGTCTCCTGGAAGAGGTAAAATTCTCTCAGCGTTATCTGCTTGTCACCTCTGTGCTATACTATTGCCTTTCTTATTTGTCACTGCCATTTAATAATTGAGAGCTTCTGGCAGTCCTGGAGAGGGGATAGAGGTCACGTGCTATCACTGACCACTCGTCAAATACACAAAAGATTAACTAGGATAATTAAACTTTGATTTGCATTTTGTCACGATTCCTGACGTATATGCTGATGAAATTTGAGGCAAACTAACTGTGGCGATGGGAGCATTATGCGCCTACGAGAAGCGGCCCTTGCCTGCAGTCAGGACTGTCTGCGTCGAGTCCCAAGGCGCCGGCAGGTGGTCACACTGCGAGGGCGTCGGCCAGCTTGCTGTGCACCCGTCGCCTCCGCGTAGTGCGGCCCGGGAGCCGTCAGGGGCTCCTCCGTGACTGTCCTCGGGGTGACAGTGTGTGTGTCACCGTTTAAATCCCCGCATCCCTCCCTCCCCCTCCACTGAGAGTGTTTCCCTGCTGAATGCTGTGGCCCGGACGGCAGCCTCGGGTTTCACCGCTGCTAATTGCACGTGTTCAAAACAAAAGCGGATCCTAAAAGCTCTTACTGCTTCACAGTGCTCCCATCAAAGTTGTTTTAGGCAATGGGTGAGGTGTGTTTCCTGTGAAACCGGTGGGGGAACATGCAGCTTCCTGTCCCTGACCTAGCAACCTCCCCTTAACCTGTGGGTGTGAAAGACGCCCTCTCCCGCCGCAGGGCCTCCGCCGGGGACGACGTTCCTGTCGTCAGCACTGTCATCACCCTGCCACACGTGATCGTGGAGAACATTCCTCTGCATGTGAACGCAGGTAACGGCACTCGCGGTTGATCTGAAGGAAGGGATCCGGGAAGAATGTTTAGCTTCTAAGGCTTTACAAAACCTTTATTATTATTAATATGAAACGCCCGACATTGACAGAAGTAGACTGTGACCGGTCTTGTTTTATCTGCGCTTCTCCGCACACCCCCTGCTCCCGTTATCGCGAAGCACTTCCACGCATAATTGCACCTGTGAACACTCCCGTGGGTATCTTTGAGAGCAGTGGTTATGTTTCTAAACGTGCTCGTAACACCATTATCATGACTTCAAAAATTAGGAAAATTGTCTTAATATTTATCACATTCCAGTGCTGACATTTTCCTAGTTAGTTCTGAATGTTCTGTCGTTTGTCCTAAGGCGTCTGCGTGGCGGCGGGTATTTTTGAAAGCGGTAGGCAGGCCCCTCCCCTCCCCGTCGCCCCCTCCGCCCATGACCGTCAGCCCTGCCCTCCTCGCTCGTTTTCCCGTGGAGCCTGCTGCAGTCTGGATGAAGTGTTTCTTTGTCCCTATAAATTGGTGGTTAGGTCTGTAGGCATGGTCAGATTCGGGTTTAGGTTTGGGGCAAGAGTACTTGTGCTCCCATCAAGAGGCACATAATGTCTTATCATTCCTTTATGAACCATGGTTGATACTCAGGGAAACCTTTCGTAGGTTTTAAAAATTACTCCTAAACTATAATTCAGCTCCTGATAGCCAACGCCCTAAGTCAGTTTTAGAAGGGGATTCAGATTCTTCTTAACCTATTTTATCATAGTCCCATGGCTAACGTGCAACCAGAAAAATGTCCTATTTAGCAAGAGTGCAGTAATATCATTAAATAAGCCCATATCTTGTAGAATGAGATTTGTTTACAAAAAGAACCTGTAAAGGGTGAGCTATTCTTTTAACCAAGAGAACTGTGTCCTTTTCTCCGCAGACCTGCCGTCATTTGGACGTGTCAGGGAATCGTTACCTGTCAAGTATCACCTGCAGAACAAGACTGACTTAGTTCAGGACGTGGAGGTTTCCGTGGAGCCCAGCGATGCCTTCATGTTCTCCGGTCTCAAGCAGGTGGGGGCTGCGTCTCACTGGGTGCATGTGCAGACCCGGCAGTGCGGCTTGGAGCCGGGAGGCCGTCTGCGGTCCCTCTTGTCTTGGTGATTGTGAATGTTTAGTCACTTCTGTGGATTAAGTACAACTCATTACAGAGGTGGAATATGCAGGCAGACCTTTTCGCACTGAGATCACACATGTAGGTTCTTTTTCCTGAAAATCTTAGATTTCCCTTTTATTACTAATGAGTTTGTGTGTGTGTGTCTTTTTGGCTTTTAATTTGAGGCCTGGAAGTATGACTACCTATATTAGAAGCCTATTCTCCTCTGAACTCTCAGTGAAATTTGTCAGAGATGTTGTGGTCAGCCAGTACTTTTTATTAATGAGGACATAATTAGAGGAACAAACATGTCGTGACGCCTAGAAGTATGTACCCTGATGGGTCATTTGTGCTGTGCACATACCGAGTGCTTTGTGTGTTGTTAAATGCAAAAAAGAACTATACACAAAGTGTATTCTAAGTTCATACACTAATTTAAACTTACGTAGCAAATATAATATTAGCTCTAATCTGTTGGTACACACATGCACATATTATCTTTGGTACGTCATGTACCTGTATGCACTCATTTGCAAGTGAGTAAGCTTTTCTTGAGCATCTTGATCTTTTTCATGTATTAACTTAAAAATAATTAGATAACGTAGGATACCAGCATCTTACCAGTTTGTATTCTTTTCAAAATTGTTGTTAAGAATTTCCAAACATCTTTTCCCCGCCCTGAATTACTTACCTTCCCATGAAGGTAAAATCCCTAAAAGAAAACATAAGAAACAACTAGTTTGTCTTATGGGTACATAACGTTTACAAAGATACCTTTCTACAAATTATCCTGTAACATTTTGTGATGATGAAATCTACCTGATCTACTTACTACACAGAATACGTTGATCCTTCCAGCGTTCTCATTTGTAGGCTGGTACAAGTTGCCTTTTGTATGTTGGTAGGACAGAAATCATGCACACATCTCTCACACATGTATTATCTGTGTGCTCTTGGCCTCTCACTAACTCAGGCCTCCATTTTGGAACCTGTGGGAGACGGAATAGGCGGGAGAATGTTTCACCAGAAAGACATGGGTGTCCAGTAACTTGGACATTATCTGGGGGTAACAAGATAGATACTGCAAGTCTGTGTATTTGATGATCTGTAACTTTTTATGATTTAGATTCGATTACGTATCCTACCCGGCACCGAACAGGAAATGTTATACAATTTCTATCCACTCATGGCCGGATACCAGCAGCTGCCGTCTCTCAGCATCAACCTGCTTAGGTTTCCTAACTTCACCAACCAGCTGCTCAGGCGGTTTATACCTACCAGTATTTTTGTAAAGGTAAGGCTTAGAAATTTCCTGCTTCTAAATTTCCTGCTTGAAAACAAAAGATTTTTTTAAATGTAAATATCAGTAAACAATAATTTGAGATTAACAATTATACTTTTGACTTCTATTGTAAAAATTTGGCAATATTGCTATTCATTCCTATAAAGTTACTGCTGTTTCGTACAGTCTAATTCCACAGACTTTTGTTCCCATAGGTAATGATCTGTCTTTATAGTATCCTTAAACATGTTTTTTCTTTGGCTTTGGTGAAATATGTTTTTAAATTATAGTTAGTGTGTAAGTAATTCTTAATCCTGAACTTTCATAATTCTCTCCATTTAACTGTGTGACACTGGATTTGGGTCTTTTCTGAAAATGATCATGTAGCGGAAACTATACTCCGGTTAAATGTTTCGATTTTTCCTCTGAGACCTTTTCTGGGGATGTGTAGTGAGGGATATGCCCATGGTCGTTGTGTGTGTGAGTGAACTGGCCGCAGGCAGCTGTTTCTCAGGCTTCTCCACATCACGCCTGGCAGCACCTCGAGCCCAGGCTGTCCTTCCACGCGGTTCTGGTTCCCGTGCACATCTGGTAGCTCAGACATTCATGAGCACGTGTGACTCCTGCGTGCCCTTTCTTTCTTTTCAGGTAATACCCCGTTTTGGAATGGCAAGTCACATTGCAGACTGTTTGCTTTTTTGTGTCTGTCGCGTTTGGGCAAACTGTCCCTCGTTTATATTATCTGGGATTTAATGTTATAAATTAGTCTCTGTTAATATGTCTCTCATAATCCTTCTAGCTTTTCTCTTTCTAGACTTAGACACTTTTTTGTATCTGCAGAAAAATCATTTTATTAACCCTTCCAAGTTCCTATCTTACTCCAAACTTTAAATTGTTTAAAAAAAGAAAAAAAGCCAGACTCATTATTTTAGATCTCTTGTGTTTAAACAGTGGCTTTAAACTGCTTTAGATTCACAGCCACATTGAGAGGGAGTTGCAGAGATTTCCCATGAGCCCTCTGTGCTACACGGCGGTGGCTGTTTAGCCATCCCGCCTGCCCGCGCTCTGAGCCACGTCCCACTGCTGCTCCGCGCTGCCGCTGCCCTGTCTGGGCGCCGTGGGGAGGAGCCCTGCCTGGTGCGGGGAGCGCGGGGGCGCGGCCCTGTCCTCGTCCTTCCAGCTGCCCAAGCGCCTTGCCTTGCACTGTTTCTGACCCGGGAGCGCGGCCCTCGTCAGTGCGGACGCGTGCATGCGCGTGCGGACCGGGCCACCAAGCTGGTGATGTGGGGCGAGGACTGGGGACGGTTCTGTCAGCGCCTCTCTCTCCTTCCCTGCGGCTCTGGCGCGGCCCGGCTCGTGCCAGCTCTGGCTTAGGCTCTTCTTTTAAAGGAAACCTCTTCCGGGCTGTGTTTAAATCTACGAGGGAAGGTTCCAGAAAAATAAACATTCACACGTTTTAACATAATTAACATTTCCTTTTCTAACTCCATGACCTTTTCTCAAAATATGAGCACCTCCGTCTGGTCATTAACTGCTGCCAGGACAACGGACTGGATTCCTCAGAACCTGCTCCTTCATCGGCTGGGGAGACATGGCATTGTTTTAGCTGTCGCACGAAGGCCAGTGTGCGAGTGGCACCCTCTTCCTGTGTCCTGAGGCGTCGCTGACCTCGAGGCTGTGCCGTTGCAGTGGGGCAGCCACTAGCCGTGTGCACCTACAGAGATCTGAATGGAATTCATTAATTAAAATGTAATGTGATTTAGAAGTCGGTCCCTTGTTGGCACTGGCCACGCCTCAGGTACTGAGCAGCTCCGTGGACTTGGGTCGCCCCACTGGGCAGCGCCGATATGGAGCGTTTCTGGGGTCACAGTCTCTGGGGCACGGCTGCCCCAGAGCAGGGCTGGGGCCGGGCTCTTCCTTTGAAAAGGTTTCAGTTTTCACGATGTAGTCCTCTTTGGCCGGTTTGTAAAGCTGTGTTTGGGAGGATTTAACCAGATTGAGCTGCTATTCCATTTCTAAAACTGAGCATCCTCCATTTACTTACTTTGCATGCTTGTGAGCATGTGTGTGGACGTGCAGGCACACACAACCACGCCGCAGCCCAGCGGCCCGCGGGCACTCCCTTCCCCGCAGGCACCTGCGCCGCCATTCGGCTCGGAGCCCAGCAGAGCGCTCTGGGTGGCGACGCACGTCGAGACGCTGCTCCTTTTCCGCCCTGGACCCCACCGCTCGGGCCCGCCCCACAAGGCCCACCGATGGACAGCTGTGTGACAGTGAAATCCTTTGCAGGAATTCTCTTCTTAGCTGCTTGACTCTGGGGTGTTACTCACGTGTCGGAGACTTTACACCTAAAGACGGTTAGGGCGCCTTTTACTCATTCCTAGCCTGTGCTCATCTGATGGGATGTTTTGCATCCCTTCAGTCAGTGGCCTTGAGCAGGGGAAACGTTGGTCTTAACCTGTTGCCGGGCCCGTTGCCATGGTGGTTGTCAGGCGGCCCCGCGTTCACAGGGAATCCCTCGTTCTCAGGCCGGAGTGTTGGGAGACCTCCAGTCTCCGGGAACTGGTCCGTCAGCTTGAGACACAGGCGGCCCGAGCAGGAGGGAGCGAGGGCGAGGGAGCACTGCTGTACCACCTAGGTGGGGACGGTGCCCCGGTTCCCTTTCACCGGCCCTCGGCAGTAGCTGGACAGCACCAGGCCGGGAGAGGGGCAGCGACTGAGGCAGGCTGGGCAGGTGGAGGTGTCTGCAGGGAGAGCGGCGACAGGGACCGAGCTGCACAGGGGCCGTCCGCAGGCTCTAGTGCAGAGGCGGCTGGGGGAGAAAGGCAGATATGCTTTGTTTCAATATTTGCACATGTTTGTCCTATTACTGTGAATAGTCCTAAGAATCTCAAAACCTATGCAGTGAACAGAGCTCATGGGGTCAAGGTTCTTTTGTGAACCACTTTGCTTTCCCACTTTAAAGCCTCAGGGTCGGCTCAGGGACGACGCCTCGATCGCCGCCGCGTGACATTCCGGACGCCCCGGGCCACGCCTGCAGAGCAGTTGGGCTGCGCGTTCTAGAAGATTTTCATGCTGAACTGTGGCTGTGATCATGGTAAAAGTTAATCGGTTCTATTTTTTAATGGTTGTTATGCCAACTATTCAGAGGAACTTGTGCATAAAATACTACGAAAGCCTGTCTTACAGCTTCACTGATATTTGACGTCTGTCAGTGTCACACGAAAGGCTGGCAGACCACTGTTATTGCTGGAAGTCATTTTATGAATCGTACATTCTTTTAAAAGTAAGTGATTTGCATGTGTGATCTCAGAGGAAAATTGAGCGCCGGGCGGGGAGAGGGGAGTGCACTGGAGCCTGCCCCCGCAGCGTCCTGAGTCCCCCGGCGTCCCCTCCCGAGCTGGCTAAACTGGAGGTCGTCCAATGTCATGAATTTGGCATGTGCTCCTGACTCGGACCCAAGAACTTAGAGCAGTTGTGTGACTGATCCAGAGAGCTTCCAGAAAGTTGTAGTCGAAGCGGTCTGAGTCGCCTAAATCATGCCTTTGCTTACCATCAAAACGTGATTACCAGCGGGTCCAGCTCCCAGCCAGAGTCTGAGCTGTGTACTGAGCAGGTTTGGATCTGTGTCGTATCCAGGTCCTTCTCTGTAGAACTGCCAGGGCCTATCAGCCTAATTTCCTAAATGAAAGGTTTTGAAAAAGAATCAAGTTCTAAATAAAACCTTGTCCTTACGGTTGTGCAGTTTGAAAACCATTTAAGACTCTTGAAAACTCATGTAAACAAAAGTCATATTGTGAAAATTTTCTTTGTTTAAATATCTTAATTTAAAACACTTGATTTTCTGGAAATTTTTATTATTTAAGAGTGTAGGAGTTGTAAAAAAGAAATATGGATGTAAATAAACACGTTCTCATTCAGATGTGCCTGTAGACATCTTTTATTTATTTTCAGCCTGTTTGATTTCAATTCCGTGAAACCGCTTTCACTAAGAACACACGTATGAGGTGTGGTGGAGAGCGGAGGACTGAATTTTTTCACCTTCCTAGGAGGAAAGAGTCTTGTCTTTGGTTTTAATTCAGTCGTTTCTTCCATGGCTCGTGTTCTGTCCCCACTCAGAATATTAAAAGTCTCTGAGTTGATATTAGTTGTTAAGAATCCCGAATTGTAATTCCCTCATCGGCATTGCAGTGAGAGAGAGAGTACTGTTGAGGAAAAACACAGCAAGCGGAAAAGGAAGTTCATACTTCTCACGGGGAGGTTCGTGCAGTCCCAGCAGACGCCTTTCAGAAGCTCCCGTCTTGACCTAAAACCCCAGAAAAGCCACCTAAAGGGTCCTGGCTCCTGGTGTAAAGAGTACTGCGAGGCGGTCTGTGTTTTCGAGTGGCGACGTGAATAAAGGGCAATGACTGCAGTTGTCAGAAGCAGTTACCGCGACATTAGTGACCAGAGATGGGTGAACGCATGCAGGATACTGAGTACAGGTGTGCGCTTCATCCTGCTGGGGGCTGGTTTGGGACGTTTCCTGACAAGGAGCTCCAGGACCACCTTCCTTTTGTTTTAGCCGACGGTGCCGTTCTCTGACACCGCAGCTGGAGAACTGCATGCATACAGTGCAAAGATCAGATTGACGAGAAACCTTCCCTTTCCCCCCGTTTACACCTGAGAACAGAAGGGAACGTTACTTCAAGACCGGATGGTTTCTGCTTTCTGAAGCCTGTTTTACCAGAGTGGGTGTCGAGCCGGAGTCCAGGCTGCCAAGAGCTCCCGCGTTCCAGAGTGTGTACACTCGTGCAAATCACAGGCAGGGATTCTGTAGATTCCACTCTCCCCCCAGCATTGAAAGAACGCACCCCTCACAGCAATCCTGGAGTTGATTTTGCACCTGCGGTGTGCACCCTCACCGCAAATCAGCATTCCTGGCAAAGGAGAACTTGTAAACACTGTCCTCCTCAGGCTGGCCAGGAGGTCGAACCTGTGCGCTTCTGAGATGAGAATCGCCAACATTTACTGAGCCCTCCAGCATGCCAGTTGGTTACATTCTTTTTTTTTTTTTTTTCCTGGTGGTTATTCAAGTGTACATTGTTCAATTCTTTCAACTTTCCTGTAGATTTGAAAATTTTATAATACGATGTTATAATATAATTTCAGAACAAAACCTATTAATATTGAAAACTGCACAGGGTACTTTGCTTAGTATTTTTTGGTGATATAATATTCTGTTAAGCACTGACTGTCCAATTCTTACCTCACTTAATACTGGTGAAAGCCCCGTGTGCTGTAGGTACTGCTTCTCTCCCCACGTTAAAGCTGTGGAAACTGAGGCACGGAGAGGTTCAATGACTTGCCTAACGTTCTGATTTACTATTGCCGTGAGACAAATCATTCCAGTATTCAGTGGCGCACAACAACAGTCATTCTCGTGTGGTTTCAGTGGGTCAGGAGCCCAGGAAGGGCCTGGCTGGGCGCTTCTGGCTTGGGGTCACACGGGCGGTTTTCCAACAGTAGCTGGAGTCTCCGAAGTGCGCACCAGGAGCAGGTGTCAGTGCTGGGTGCTGAAACCACGAAGGACGCTGTTCTTGCAGACCTCCGGTCCAGCAGGCGGCGCCACCCCACGAACAAACTCCACTGCAGTGCGGCAAACACGCCAGAAATGGGGATAGGAGTGGTGCCCTGATGGGGTGACTAGGGTTTGCTTTCAAATGCTTTGGAAAACAGGCACGAAACACACAAGCAAAAACAGGTTGGGGAGAAATGTGTAAAATAAGTTTCGGAAAATGCTGATAATTGTTCAAGGTGGGTAAGAGGTGCGCGGGAGTCTCCTTACACTCTAGATATGTCTGAATATTTTCATGATCAAAAAATAGTAGGAGATACAAGGTGGACAGGAGCCAGAGTGGAGGGGATGCTGGGGTGTGAGCGAGGGGGTGGCAGGGAGGTCGGGCTTCGGGCGAGGAGGGGTGTTGGCGCCGTTTTCATATTCGTAATGCAATTATTCTGTGTCTTTCTCATATGGGAGTGCACGTCCATCATCCTTGAGCAGATAATGTTACTGTGAGCTGAATTTTGGAGGACATGTATGTGTTTGTAAAATAAATAGATAAGGAAGAGCTTGCCCAGAGATGACGGCGCGGCTGGCCAGCGGCGCCTTGCCCGCACCAGTCCTGCCGGGTGCTTTCAGGGCAGACCCACCGGAGCCCAGCCGGGGGCGGTGTGCACACCCTGGAGGTTCAGGTGCAGCGATAAGAGAACCGGAGGCTGATGAGACTCACTCACAACGGCAAGAATGCTTGCTGCTGCTCCCACCACTGCTGCTTCTGGGGAGCAGGGCAGCTTCTGTTGGAATTTCAGGATTTGGGAGCACAGCTCGTCTTTTCTTAGCTTTATAATGCTCATCAGATTGGAGAATTGTAGCTCGGAAAGTGTTTGCTGTTGGGGATACTCAACTATCATTGTCTCAGCAAAGGATTGAATCCCAAAAGCCAAACTTAACAGAAAAAAAGCCCTATACTCAAGATGAAATACTGAATTATTTTTTTAATCCTCACCCAAGGATATGTTCATTGATTTTAGAGAGAGAGGAAGGGGGAGAGAGAGAAACATCCATCAATTGCCTCCTGTATGCGCCCCGACTGGGGATCGAACCTGCAACCCAGCTGTATGCCCTGATCTGGGGTCAGACCTGCAACTTTTTGGTGCATGGGATGATACTCCAACCAATGGAGCCACCTGGCCAGGGTGAAATATTGAATTACTTACACACGGCAGGAGGAGCTCTATGATAGCCCGTGATTTCTATCAGAGATGTTAGTTGCTCAGACTACATATGCAATATTTTCCCCACTCTGATTACCATCCTTTATTGCATTTTATTTTTAATTGTGAAAATTTCCAAACACGGAAAAGCAGAGACTGTAATACGCTTATTGTGATCGGCTTTGGCCGCCACAGTACCTCGCCGTCGACCGTCTACATAGTCTTGTGCTCACTCCCCTCTTACATAATTTCACCCACCAATAAGAGGAGTTTTAAAAAACATCACCTCAGTATATTATTAATAAACTACCAATAATTCCTGAAGATCGTCTAATTCACAATACATATTCAATTTTCTTAATTAACTGAACAGCCTTTTTACCGTTGGCTTGTTTGAATCAGCATCCAAACAAGGTCCATCAGTGTATTTATGTTTCTTAAGTCTTTTCTAAGTTTCCTTTAATGCACAACAGTCCCTTCCCCCCTTGCACACCTTATTGAAGTGCTGGAGATACGGGGCAGTTACCTTGTGGAACAGTCCGCTTTTCTGTTGGGGCTGATTCCTCCCAGCGCGCCACTGAACTGGTTTTCTGTGCTCGGCAGTTGCTATGGAGCGGGGGCTAGAGGCCACGGCTTGTCCGAGTCCTGTGTTACCGCCTGCCTGCCTTTCTCTCTTCTTGCAGGTGCACCGCACAGGTGCAGTGCCACGCGCCCTCCTGCCCTGCCGTGCGTGGTTGCCTCACCTTGAGGGACGCTAAGGTCGATCACTGGGTTTAAAGGATGACAACCCAATCCCTTTATTAGAAGGTTCAGTTTCAACATCTACCTGGCGACTGTCTGAATCAATTAACTAGTAGTTGCAAAATGTAACTTTAAAATGCTGTTCTGCATTTATTGGCTAGAGCTATTTTGGGTATAAACCTTTCCCTCCCCCCCATCCATTAGGTCTATTAAATTACCCCTCCAAGTTCCTATGGGAAAGAGAATTTTTAATAACTTAATTATTTCTGTAATTTTCAGAATAGTCTTATTTCCGACTTCGTCTATTGCTAATATCAAGGAGAGCTTGGGTTTGGGATTTTGTTGGTTTGTCTTCACTGCTTTCTCCCCATCCTCATGAAACAACCATGTGAAGGAGGCCAGACCGGCAGACAGGCACGTCAGGGTAGGGTGCCAGCTTGGACGACTTTGGTAGCGGCTGCCAGCTCCTCGGAAGGGCACCAGCGCCCACCCCCTGGCTTCGCCTGGTGGGAGGGATGCAGATGCCAGTACCTGCCCCCCCTTGTTTACAGCCTCTGCCTTGAAAAATGAAGTTTACAAGGAATCTCCAGCTGTAAAGATAAAAACAACGAGACAGCTCCTGCACGCTGTTATCAGATGCCCCCTCCCGCTAACCTTTATCAACCATACCCTTAAAACCGGTAGGACAATGTTCTAGATGTTCCAAATGAGGACCTTGGGAAACTCGTGCAAGAGCCTGACAAGGAAAGACACAGTTGTGTTTAATCAATTATTTTATATTAATTCTTTAAAGACAGGTAATCCTTGGCTGATGGGCTTTCCACAGCACCCTTATTCAGGACACTTGTTACGGGCGGTGAGGCAAAGGGGTTACTCCAGTGGGCCTTTGTAGGGAGGGATAGGACTCAACTCCAAGGACAGCTGGGGACTTAGAACCAGGGAGCAGGGAGGGGACAGTGGATGGGAAATTGCTAAGAGCAAACAGCAGCAGCAGTAGCAGCAGCAGCGGGCGATTCTTGCTGGAGTCCGACCCGGAGTTCAGAGACCAAGCGTTCTGGTTCAGACAGGCTTCTCCAAGGGTAGCGAGGCAAGGCCAAGGTCAGGCCTAGAGGGGCAGAGGGCTCAGAGGAGCCTGGTTCAAGTTGGTCCAAGGACAGGGCCTTTGTCGGTGCACAGAACTGCGGACCACATTTTCTTTTTCGGGTTAGTAATCACTCCTCTATCAGGCAGGGGAGCGTTGGCGGCCCTCAAAGTCAAGTCTGAGCCCGCAGGGTAAGCAGAAGCTCTCTTTTCCCGGGTGCTTCCGTCTCCCTCCCAGCAAACGAACGCAGGCTGCGCCTTCCGAGCTCCGCGGGGAGCTCTGCGCGCCACCCACCCAGGATGCGCCGGTGACTGG